ACGCCTACTGAGTACCTGCATTACTGGGTACCTGTCACATACAGGTATCATCTTATTTACCAACAAAAACCTAAAGTAACTGTTATCACTTTTACAGAGGAAGAACCTGAGGCACAGTGCAAAGCCTAAATTAGAACTCAGATATTTCAGTCTAGAGGGATGGCTCAAGTGGTACAGTACCTATCTAGTAAACATGAGGCCCTGAGCTCAAACACCAGTGCTATCTTAAAAAACAAATCAAATCTCTTTCCTATACCATGCTACCTAATAAATAAATAAAGGCAATTAATTTCAACTTAGCCAACTTTGAAAGGTCCTTATAGTAAAGGGATTTAAGCCACACCTCAGAAGTTATGAAAGGCAAGGCATTTGAGGCAGGTACAGCAGGAGCAAAGGTATGGGACAAAGAGAGTATTGGACACATTCAGAGGATAGCAGGCATTCTTTTTTTTTTTTTTTTCATTTTTCTTTTATTATTCATATGTGCATACAAGGCTTGGTTCATTTCTCCCCCCTGCCCCCACCCCCTCCCTTACCACCCACTCTACCCCCTCCTGCTCCCCCCCTCAATACCCAGCAGAAACTATTTTGCCCTTATCTCTAATTTTGTTGTAGAGAGAGTATAAGCAATAATAGGAAGGAACAAGGGGTTTTGCTGGTTGAGATAAGGATAGCTATACAGGGCATTGACTCACATTGATTTCCTGTGCGTGGGTGTTACCTTCTAGGTTAATTCTTTTTGATCTAACCTTTTCTCTAGTTCCTGGTCCCCTTTTCCTATTGGCCTCAGTTGCTTTAAGGTATCTGCTTTAGTTTCTCTGCATTAAGGGCAACAAATGCTAGCTAGTTTTTTAGGTGTCTTACCTATCCTCACCCCTCCCTTGTGTGCTCTCGCTTTTATCATGTGCTCATAGTCCAATCCCCTTGTTGTGTTTGCCCTTGATCTAATGTCCACATATGAGGGAGAACATACGATTTTTGGTCTTTTGAGCCAGGCTAACCTCACTCAGAATGATGTTCTCCAATTCCATCCATTTACCAGCGAATGATAACATTTCGTTCTTCTTCATGGCTGCATAAAATTCCATTGTGTATAGATACCACATTTTCTTAATCCATTCGTCAGTGGCTGGGCATCTTGGCTGTTTCCATAACTTGGCTATTGTGAATAGTGCCGCAATAAACATGGATGTGCAGGTGCCTCTGGAGTAACAGTCTTTTGGGTATATCCCCAAGAGTGGTATTGCTGGATCAAATGGTAGATCGATGTCCAGCTTTTTAAGTAGCCTCCAAATTTTTTTCCAGAGTGGTTGTACTAGTCTACATTCCCACCAACAGTGTAAGAGGGTTCCTTTTTCCCCGCATCCTCGCCAACACCTCTTGTTGGTGGTGTTGCTGATGATGGCTATTCTAACAGGGGTGAGGTGGAATCAGCGTGGTTTTAATTTGCATTTCCTTTATTGCTAGAGATGGTGAGCATTTTTTCATGTGTTTTCTGGCCATTTGAATTTCTTCTTTTGCGAAAGTTCTGTTTAGTTCACTTGCCCATTTCTTTATTGGTTCATTAGTTTTGGGAGAATTTAGTTTTTTAAGTTCCCTGTATATTCTGGTTATCAGTCCTTTGTCTGATGTATAATTGGCAAATATTTTCTCCCACTCTGTGGGTGTTCTCTTCAGTTTAGAGACCATTTCTTTTGATGAACAGAAGCTTTTTAGTTTTATGAGGTCCCATTTAGATAGCAGGCATTCTTGTGTGACTAATGTGGAAAGAGCTTAGAAACGAAACTGAAAAAGCAGGCTGGTAAATCACAGGCTTCAAAACTCTACAACACTGATCTTCCGAGTTTCCCATCATTACCACTGTTCTCAACTGAATTTCCTTCTCTATGACCTCACTGTATTTGTTACTTTATGCATTAACCACTGTGTAATAGCTAAAGGTAACCAACGCTTATTATGCTCCAGGCACTTTTCTAAGCACACCACGGGTATTACTGCATTTCATCCTCACAGTGACCCCATGAGGTAGGTACTGGCATTGTCATGCATTTAAGTTAAGGCACAGAAACTTAAGTTGTACAAGATGAGGTGTGGGATGCAGCTCAGCCACAGAGTATGTGTTCAGCATATGCAGAGGCCTCGGTTCAATCCACAACACCAACATAAACAACCTCTCCACCAAAGACACTCACAAAAGAAGAAATAATAAACTGTGCAAGATCAAACAGTTGATAAGTGGCAGAACTGGAATTTAAGCCCGAGCAATCTAGCTCCAGAGCCTGAACTCTTAACCTGTGCCCTGCTGCTTTTCCAAGGGAAATCTTTATATATCCCCTATTACACTATGCGTTCCTAGAGGAACACAATGATAAATGCTTTTGTTTGGGTTGAGGGGAGGGACACAAAGGAAAGAGAGTTTCATATCTTGAGCACCAAGGACAGTTCCTGGTACACAGTGGGCAATTTACAAATATTTGTTGAACAGAACATGCCTTGAATTCTTAACTAAAGAATCTAGGTTGCTCTTCCTGTGAGTCAGGGGTCAGCAAATAATTCTAAATGGCCAAAGAGTAAATACTCTAGACTCTGCATGCTACAGAGTCTCTGTCATACTTACTCATTTCTCTCTCTTTTTTTTTTATTGGCGGAGCTGAGGATGAATGTGTCCTCTACCACAGAGATCACTGAGCTACATCCCAATCTTGACCCCCTCAAAACAAACAAACAAACAAACAAAAAACAGCATAATTACTCAGTTTTACTGTTGGGCAAAAGCAGTTATGGACTATTGTAAGTCCATAAGCACGGTTGTGTTTCAATAAAATTTCACTTACAGTGGGCCATTACGCCAACAGGCTCTATTTGCTAATCCCTGCGATCGTGGACAGGAATATCTAAAAGGTTTGTGAACAAGAAGATCGAAAGGCTGACACTGTGTTTTAAGAAGATTAACTGTGACGACAAAACACTGTAATGAAGAAGAGCTGAGGTTTTAACACTGGAACCATGCTGCCCAATAAAAATAAAACTGCACGCCACAAATGTGAGCCTTGGATGGATGTTGTTTCAAATTCTCTACAAGCCGTATTTGAAAACTTTAGAAAGGGCTGGGGGCATGGCTCAAGTGGCAGAGTATCTGCCCAGCAGGTGCAAAGCAACGAGTTCAAACCCCAGCACCTATTAACCGCCCCCCTCAAAAGAAACTTCAAAAAGCAGGTAAAATTAGTTTGAATAATACATTGTATTTAGCCTAATACACCTCCAATATTGCCATTTTAACACATAACCACCATAAACACTGTGGTGTACTGCATTTTTATTTTGTAGCATGTGTCAAAATCCAAGGTGAATTTTATTTTACACTTAACAGCACATCAATTTGGATAAGCCCCATTTCAAATGCTTTGGTGGCTACCATACTGAACAGCACAAAATTATGACCAATTAAGGTTTGGGGATACAGCTCAGTGGCAGGGTCTGCACTTAGCGTGAGCAAGATCCTGAAGATCCTGGGTTTGATTCCCACCCCCCCCCCAAAAAAATAAATAAATAAAATAATGTACAGCTCCTACACAGCTGCTGGTTTCAGAACTGCCAATTGCTTCTGGACCCGATTCTGAATTTACAGACCGCAGTTTACTGGCAACTCAGCAAACCAGTGTCCTCATTTTTCACGCCACACTTCTGCGTCCTTTAGTTTGTAAATACATTTCCACACGGGATCCTCCTTACAACCATGAGGGTAGGCATGTTAGGTCAACTTTACAGGTGAGGAAACTTAAGAGACAGCTAATTAAACTAAGTCCTAGATCCCCTGACTTCTCGGTCAGATCTATTAAAAGCTCGCACAGCACTTTTCTGAGAACTCCATGAAGACCACCACGTCCCCAGGGCCAAAACAAGCGGACAGTGCTTCTTAAATGAATGCAGTTTCTGCTTTTCTCATTGCTTAAACCATTTATTTTGCAACGAATGTGACGATGAGCCGAAATTACTATTTACAGCTGAGGAGCAAAAATCTACCCTAGTATACTTCAAAGGAGAAGGGGGTGCGGGAGTCAGGATTGGGGTCAGGGCGCTGCAAGCCGAGGTCTGAAGCTGACTGCGCCCAGCTCTCGTCCGTCAAAGGGGGGACGCGCAGGGCGAGAATCCCCACCACCCGGTCCAGACCCAGGATTCCGACATGGACCTCCTTCCATTTCCTCAAACCGTTCCTCGCGTCCCCTCTGCAACGGCCGACCCCGTTCCGCGACGCCCGGCCGCACTCCCGTCCCACCGCCACTGCCGCAGCCGCCATCTTCCCCGCCGGCCCGACCCCAACCGCCACCCGCCGGCACTGGGAGACGCGGCCTCACCTCTCCTCGCAGTCTTTGCATTTCACCTGCAGTGGGACGAGCTGCTGGAACAGAACTTGGCTCATGTTGGACCGCTGCCCCGGCCGGTGTGCGGAAAAGCCCCACAGACCTGACCTCCAGCGCTAGATTGAAAGACGTCTCCGTTCTGGTGGAGTTTGAGTTTGGCGCTCAGCTCCCGCGGAGGAGGAGAGAGGAAAACGAAGGAGGTTTGTCCCTCGCCAGCCACCATCAGCTTCTTCCGGTTCTGCGGAGGAAGGGGCGTGGTCGAGCGCACTACTTCCGGCCACTGACCTGAGTGCTGGGCCCCGAAGTCGCCATATTTGTTAAGGGAACAGGACCGGGAGGAAACTGAACTTTCTTTTAGCTGGGCGCTGGATGCTCTCGCTATTATGGCAGCTTCTACGCCGAGTCCGCGTGATACTGGTTTTCCAGCTGAGGGTAGATGCAGTTACTATGTGGAAAAGAAGAAGCGGTTCTGCAGGATGGTGGTGGCCGCGGGGAAAAGGTTCTGTGGCGAGCACGCTGGAGCCGCGGAGGTCTGGTATCGCCCTCCCTTCCCGACAGTCGGAAATAAGGTTCCCGGTCGGCGGGTGCTGGATCCCGGCCCCTCCCCTCTTTGACAGGTTTCTGCTTCTGTCCGCTGGATTCTCCAGCTTTTTAATTTTGATTTCAGTTTTAATTTTTTGTGGCGGTACGGGGGTTTGAACTCGGAGCTTCGCGCCCGCACCTTGAGCCACGCCCCCCGCCCCTGCGGTTCTGACCTCGCGGGGAGCACGAGCCGGGCGCTGAGCATCGTCTCCCTTTCCTCTGTCTGTAAAGCGCCAGCTCTGACACGTTTGTCGGAGTGACACCGAGTTTACTCTCACCCCAAACTTGCATCCTGTGCCTGGCTGGTGGGACGTGGCCGTTTAGCAGCAGCAGTGGTGGGAGTCCCCACATTTCACTGATTGTGTTCTGTGAGCGGAACCCCGGCCTCTGAATGCACTGGAAAGTCTCTCGTTGGCACATTTATTTAGATCTACAATCTCGAGGAGACAGCTTGTAAACTTGTAACTTCAGGGCTGCACTGGGAACAGAAAGGTTTTGTTTAAATATATAAAAATTGACCTTGTAAATTGAAAACTGAAAGGGTACCATTTTGTTCGATAAACGTAATACGTGTAACTATGCTATCAGCCAATATAATTGTATCTCTGTATATTAAATAGGATATGCGTGATAGAAAAATAAGGACAAGAGGATGCTGGTAGAAAAAAAATGGATGTTCAATAGGACTAGAAAGAATAAACCAAATAGACCAGCAGCTGTGATTTCATCCCCTCTAAACGTCTAAAACTGTTGGCATTTTATTTCTTATTCTTCTTGGGAACATCCAATACAGGTCAGCCCCTTCCTTTACATTTCTCCTTTTGGAATATGGAAGGTGTAACTTACTGCAGGAACTCTTTAAAGTCCAACCACAGTTGTACTGTCTGGTTTTAAGGGGTCAGCAAGCATTCCTTGATTGAAGAATGAGATATGTTGTAGAAGGATTTTGTACCCACTCTATCCAGACATCTGGAAGGTGACTAAAGATGGTCATAGGGGATATGAATAAACCTCTACTGGCTGATTGGTATTCCGAGAGAGAAATGACATCTAGTTATTAGTCCCCAAAGAAGGACTACAAGACACCCAGTGGAAACACTTTCTGTGACACAATTGGGTTTTGAATTGTGACCATTTTCCTGAATCTAACTTAAGGTGTAATTGGGTGTTATGTTTCCATCTTTTTAAAAAGGTGTCATATATAGTTGTAATGACACTACATATAACTGATTTTCACCCAGTGGTTCTCAGCGGGATAAGTTTTGTCCCCCAGCAGATATTTGGAATGTCTGAATGCATCTTGGTTATTGTAACTGGCATCTGATGTGTAGAGGCCAGACACTGGTAAATCTACAAATCATAGAACCGTCCCTCCCCTCCAGAAGAATTTGCCAACTCAAAATATCTGTAGAGCCAATGTTGAGGAATATTGAGAAAGTTCTTCCAGCCCCTCCCCCCCCCCATTCTGTTATTAGGCTTTGGAAGTTAAGTTTTATTGTTTTGTTTTAGAGCACTATGTGGCCCAGGCTGGTCTTGAACTACTAATCTCAAGTGGTCTGCCCACCTCAGCCCAAGTAGCTGGTACTACAAATGTGTTGTACCATCATCACCACAGCACCTGGCTGCTACACGTTAAGTTTTAAAGTAAACAAATAAAGAGGAAATAATGTGCAGTATTTTTAAAAAGTTGGAAATGTCTTAGCTTTCCGATAAAATTCAGGGTGTATAATTTCATGGACATGCCAAGAGGCACATCAGAACAGACATGAGTTGAGCTGACTCGTCAGCATGGTCTCCTAGCACTGTGCTAAGCAGTTTTCTTGTTTTGGTTTTAAAAATATTTGTTCACTTAGATTACACAGACCTTCTGAGGTAAGGTATTTTCTCATCTTTCACATGAGACAGGAGGCCTACCTAGGGACACCAAGCTAGTAGCTGAGAGTCACCTAACCAGTCTGGCTGGCCGGCTGTCTTGATTTCACTATCCTGTTTCTTACATGCTCATATGGAATGTTGGGTAGAATTGCCAACACTATTAATTTTCCTTTCTTTTCTCACAGTGCATATAAATTAGTGTTAAATTAGTGTATCTCAAAAGCATATTACTGCTATCCTGAAAAGCTGCAAAGCCGGTGGAAAATGATCCATGCCAGGTTATTAAAATGCCATGTTTTGTTGGTTCTAAGACATTTCCCCTCCATTTTAACAACGTATAGATCAAGATGCATCCTAAAATCACTGCTGTGTCATCATTTAGATGGGTAGCATTTTCCACAAAGAATAATAAATATGGAGGTAATGTGTTTGTTAATTAGCTCAATTTAGCTATTCCACAGTGTATCCAGATTTCAGAACATGTTGTACATAATAAATATATACAATCTTTGTCAGCTTTTTAAATTAGTTAATTTGAAATAAATGGTTAACACTTCTTTCTTTCATGGTGGCACACAAAATAACAGTGTTAGCTCAGATTCAAAATTCCTTATGTGGGCCTTTTCTATAACCTATTTGAAGCTATGGATTCTTGTTTGTCCAAAGCTGTATTTATTCATACTACCTAAGCCAGCCACATTGGAGATTTTGTTGTTAGACCAGATGACTTGATTTTGCCAGTTTCTCATTGTGTCTTTTTAAGATTTCCTTACTTTTTTTGGGGGGGAGGGGCGGAATGCACGTACTCTACAGTTACATCTATAAGTAATAAGGTTGATATTTTACTTAACTAACTATATCCCTTTTTCAATTTATTAGGAAGAAAATACTCGGAAAAGAATCCTGTGTCCTTTAGATCCAAAACAGTAAGTATGGATTAGATAAGAGTTTTTCTGTGCTGGAAGCAGTAAGTGTCACAAATCTCATTTTAAATTTTCTCTTTAAATTTAGCACAGTATATGAAGATCAACTAGCAAAGCATTTGAAAAAATGTAATTCAAGAGAAAAGCCAAAACCTGTAAGTGTTTGGTCAGTTAAACCCAATGGTGACATGTATGGTGTATAGTGTTTATAAAAATAGTATTTAGTGTATTACAAATGTGTATATTGGACAAGAGTCATGCGTTGAGGCCTGAATTTGGTAAATGCACTTAAGTGTACATGATGCATGAGCTTGTAAATACAGTTAATAGTCTTATGGGACCTGAGTGGTGGTCAGAGAATAATTTTACTATTGAAAAAAATTTATTACATGCCTATTAAACTTATTTCAATAAAATATGATAGTCTTAAAGGGAGTTGAGACTGGGAAGTAGACTTGTAAATAAGGGATATTTTTTAGTAAAGTCAAATGAAGAAGTGGAGCCAGTTGTAGTGGTGGTGAACGCTTATAATCCCAGCACTTGGGAGGCTGAGGCAAGTTTGGGGCAATCTAGACTACATAGTGAGAAACTGTCTCAAAAAGAAAAAGAAGAAAAAGGGAGGAAAGAGGAAGGAAAGGAATAAAGAAAAGGGAAGAGAAGGAAGGAAAAGAAAGAAGGCAGGAAATGATGGGAGCATGTACTTGCATCAGAATTAAAATCAAAGGTCAAGAAGGGCTTCCCAGAACCTTGATTTGGCAAAGAAAAGGGAGCGAGCTCTTCTCAGCAGAAAGAACAACATGTAAAAAGGATGGAGTTGAGAAACCACATACTTTCAAGAAACTTGAACTTTATTCTGAAATGTAACTGCTGAAAGATTTTAAACTTGGGAATAATTAAGTCAAATTTTTGTCTTAGAAAACTTTCTTTTATAGCAGCATGGGAGGATTGCTTGGAATAAGGAGAACAAGTGAGAAAGCTGTTACTGAAATTCAGGAGTGACATCTTAAGAGACTGAATTAAAGAAGATGGGAAGGGTGGGGATAAATGCTAGAATTATAGAGGTAGCAGAATCTATAAAAACTTGGTGGCTGGAAATTCACAGTTGGATATATGAGTATGAATAGAAAGGTTGAGCATATAATCAATGTTTGGAAGTCAAATATATACCAGTTATAGGTAAAGCTTTGGGTGTTTAGTTACCCAAAGGTAAGGATGACAAGAAAAAGAACTTATTTTTCAGCAGATATGAAGTGAGTTCTTATGCCAGTTTGTCTAGAATAACATTACAATCCAATGGGAAAAGGAAAGTGCAGTATTTGCTAAAACTGAGTACAGGGTGCTATAGGAGAATAAATAATTTTCTTTTGGAAAATGTAGAGGTGAGAGAAATGAGAAGGAGTCAGGGCGGTTTCTCCAAAGGAAGTATCATATGAGAGCCAAGATCAAGGGAGAATCAGCCATTCAAGAAGGAAAATAAGTACAAAAACCTAGAAGTGAGAGTAGGTTGCTTTGTCAGCACTGTGCATTTCACATGATTTGAAGATAAAATACGAGGAGAGCTGAGTAAAAGATGAGAGTAGCCAGGGAGTTGATCAGGAGACCATGGCAGAACTCTAGGCATCACCGATGTTGAAAGTTGAACTGTTAAAAGAAACTATACAAAGAATGGAGCAAGAAAGATAGGAAAGAGAAAAATTAGAAGGTCATGTATAGAAGAATTTCAAAAAGAAAGGACTAGCATCACAGAGGAATAAAGGTAAGGATGAAAAGAAAACCTGTGGATTGGCAAAATGGTATTGGTTAAAGATCAAAGATCTTAGCAAAATCCGTAGTAAATAGGGTGGGATGAGCAGAAATGAGAGTGGGATGATAGGTAAGCAAATAGCAGGTATTAGGCAGACTATTTTTTAAAAGACTTGGCTGTAAATGTAACTTGAATGTTGGAATGGCAGACAGGATGCAGGATAGAGGAAGTATTCTTTCAATTATCTTGTCAAGGGGGGGGAGATGTAGTTTTACATATGCTAATAGGCCAGTAGGAAGGAAGAAAGTGGAGCTAGAGCTTTGTTGATACTTGAGGCAGAAATAGGGAACAAAATAGAGGTAGAAAGGAACAACCGAAGGGCGGTAGCTCTTCCACTGAAATAGAGGGAAATGTTAAAAGATGGTGGGAGCTCTCCTTTGATCACTGTAATTTTTGTTGTTTGTTTTGAGACAGGGTCTCTCTGTGTACCCCAGCTGGCCTTGAATTTGTGATCCTCCTATGTCAGCCTCTGGAGTGCCGGGATTATAGGACAGGTGTGCACCAGCACGCCCAGTGAAAGACTAGATGATTGAGGGGGACAATGATGCAATGGAGATTTGAGGGGGAGGAAAAAGTTTAGAATTAACATTACAGAGATTAATTGCTAGACTTCTTTGAGATCCAGGCTAATAGAAAATGAATTTGAACTGGCACCAATCCAAATTACCAAGTGGTCTTTCTTCAGCAGTATTCAGCAAGCTAGGCATTGAAGGTAAAGTCATACAGTTTACAGTCACCCTTCTCTATACCTAAGGGATACACAGAACCATAATAACCATTTATCACCCAACAAGGGGCTAAAAAATCAGATTTCTATTTGGTAACAGAATAGAATTGGGGTGAGGGGGAGTAACAACTTGCTTCACTATAGTAACCGTTTTACTATATAAAATCATACTGTAAACCTCAAATATACACTGTAAAATTTATTTTTAAAAAAAATTTAGGCCAGGTATGGTGATGCATGACTGTAATCCCAGCAGTTGGGAGGCAGAGACATGAGGATCCAAAGTTGGAGGCCAATCTGGGCTATATGGTAAGTTCAAGGCCAGCCTGAGCTACGCAACGAGCCCTGTCCCAAACCCTCCAAAACTTAAAAAGTTTAAAGATTATATTTACATAACTGAATGCATATCGATGATTTAGCAGTTAGCCATCAACCTGATCAACAGAATATATGCATATATCTAATACATCTACAGGTACAGGAGTTGTGGGGAAATGTATATATTTCCTTTCATTGACAGTAAAATTACTTCGCCATCTCTTGGCTGAGATCAGGTGTATTTACCTTCAGTAAACACTGAAGGAAACACATCAAATTAATATAGGCACTAGGTTTTATTATAAGTGTGGGTGTGACAGAAGGACCATGTTGTAAAGGACAATAATGATGACGTGAAATGGAAGTCAGAAATTACCTGGAAAAAAAGTGAGTACAGGCCTTTAGAAAGGTAGAGTAAGCAAGAGTTCTTTTTTTTTTTTCTTTTGGCGCTACTGGGGTTTGAACTCGGCTTTGAGCTTGCTGGGTAGGCACACTGCAAATTGTGGTTAGAGAATAGGTTTAATAGCATTTGAGATTTTGGAGGCTAAATGGTTCACAGCAATCCAGAGGGCCATGGAAATACTTTGTCAAAGTGGTATGAAGGAATTAAGAACTACAAAGGTCAGGCAGAGCTGTTACACAGGTGGCTTAAAAATGGGATCATTTGTGTTGGAGTTAGTGTGTAAAGGACAATTTGCTGTCAAAGTGTTTTTGGTGGGGGGATTGGAGTTTGAACTCAGGGCTTAGCATTTGCAAAGGAGGTGCACACAAGGCAGGCATTCTACCGTTTGAGTCATACCTCCAGTCCATTTTCTTCTGGTTATTTTGGAGATGGGGGGCGTCTCATGAACTGTTTGCCCAGACTGGCATTGAACTGTAATCCTCCCAGTCTCAGCCTCCCAAGTAGCTAGACTTCCAGGTGTGAGCCACTGTTGCCCTGCTCAAAGTCTGTGATGGAATGTTGGATAATGAACAGCCAGTGGACGGCTTACCACCCTGGGAGGGTTAGAAGATGGCTTAAGAGCACAGGATTTCTTGGTGGGACAGTTTTAGTGTGCATCCAGAGCATCTCTGTAGGTGACAGAGCATCCATCCTGGTCTCTGAGAAGCAAATGGCAAGTGCATTTGTCAAGAACTGAGGAAGTTCTGAAATTTCATCTTATTTTCAGCCTAACAAGTTGCTCTGCCACAGGTTTGTGAATACTGGCAGATGTGAGGCTCCTGGGTCAGAGGTAGAGAGACAAAGGGTTTTTTTGTTTGGTTTTTTGTTTTTGGTGTTAGAATGCCTATTAAACATGTGTGCTACCACTAAGCTAGACCCAAAGCCTCAGGAATTTTATTACTCACTTCACAGCAAGTAGCAAGAGCTTCTTATTTGTATCAATTCCCCTAGTTTCCCAAGGCTTATGAGGTCAAACCAGAGTAGCCTGCATGGATACTGCATATGCAGTGGGCTTGTGTAATAGCTCAGGAGCTAAAACACAAGGAAGTAGGGTATTTTTAGTTGGGCAGTAAGCAAACCTGCCTGATCTGTGTTCCATAAGTAGACACTATTCTATATCATACTGTACAGTAAGTGAGCCTAACATGTGATCTATAGGAGACACCATTTCTCTTTCTCAATGGTGTTTGATACAGAGATATCCTTGAAAAGACAGTGTGAAACAAAGGTAGTCAGTGCCTCTGCTTGTAGGACTTGTGGAAAATTGAGCAACCATGGGAAAATTGTCTCCCAACTGTACCTCTTCTCAGTCATTTTGACAAAACACCCCCATATATCACCAAATGCCTCCATGTTGAGAATCGCTGGGCCCTATAAGCTCAAAAGAAAGTGTTTTAGGGCTGGGGGAGTGGTAGAGCTCCTGCCTAGCAAGCACAACATCATGAGTTCAACCCCAGTATTGCCAAAAAAGAAAAAAGGAAAGGTATCTTAATATTAAGATTGTGTACAGGAAAATGATAACCACCTTACTACCTCCTCAGAACTTAGGTCCTTTGATAGAAAGAGAAAATGAGACTTACCAGAGTCCTAGGTCAAAGGCTTAACTCTTGGGGTCTCAGTACAGCAGACTCTGCTACCCACGGCCAGTCAAAAGAGATGAATGGTAAAGTAGGAAAAGAATTTATTCTGTGTGGCCATACTGGAAGGGAACAAGGGGGACTAGTGACCTCTACCTTGTCTTCTAGTCACTGACCGTAACTCCAGGGTTATGTAGGAGAAGGAAGTAGGAATAGTGAAGCTGTCTCACTTGAACTCTGATCTGGTTGATCATTGTCTCGGATCTGCTTCTGTGGGTTCTTACTGGCACCAGGAAAATCCTTATTGCTTGGAGGTGGACAATTTGGTTTTTGTCCCTTTTTGGGGGCAGCCTCCACTCCCATCATGGGGTGATCTGCCTATAAGGCTCACTATTCCTGGAATCTTGAAAATATCTTAGCTACTCTTAACGTGGTGTCTTAAGCCTCAAAAGAGGATAAGAGAAGTGAGGTAAATTTAGGGCTAATCAACCTTGTATTCCTAGCTTCAGGACACTCCTTCAAAGTCAACCTGTCAGAGTCAAGCTGGAATCTGACCCAAAGTTTAAAATAGCAAAGAAGACAAATGCAGTGTGAAGCCAGAGATGGCAAGTTGTTATCCTCTTTTTAATTATCCATCAGACACTTGTAAGCCTAAGTGACGAGTCAGTGCTTTTGCCAAAAACAGTCTTTTTTCTTTGTGGTGGTACCAGAGTTTGAACTCAGGGCCTCATGCTTCCTAGGCAGGTGCTCTACCACTTGAGCCTCTCCACCAGCCCCAAAAGCAGCCTTTAAGTTCCTGTTAGAAGGCTTTACTTGCAAGTATCTTTCTTACCTATGTGCCAGGTTTCAGTTAGAAGCAAGCAAGTAGAATGAGTGTTCTGGGGAAAATTTGAGGAAACAGATGAATTTATTAAAAATTGAATGCCATTGGGCAGGTTCTGTCACATGCCAGGACACAGTGGCAAAGAAAGATGGCAACTCTGGGTGATGAGATTGGGGAAGAAATACAGAGCAGTATTATCTGGTATACTATATAATGTGACCCTTATTACCCAGGTAAAGTTATAACACTGTTCTTCATGACTTTGAAACACATCATCAGTTTGTAAAAATCTTACTCACTAAATGAAAGTAGATTGGTGAGAGTTTCTCCAGTATAAATAATTTTCATATATAAAAGTCCAGTCCACAGCACAATTTACCTAGAACATTCTTTCCAACCATTTTTAACTAAGAATACATCAAGGTTTAATAGTTAGAGTTAATTTCCTAATACAGTTTTGTTAGTCATCTAACGGAACATTATATAATACCTGCATTCTTCACCCATCCCATTTAGCCACCAGTTTTTGTTGTTAAACATGTAGGTAAAGCTAGCAGTACACAATCAGGATGCGCTACATACGGCACAAAAGCCCATTACCATGCATGCTGTGATGTCTCCATTGCAGTGAAGTCACTTTCACCTTCACTCAGGGCTCCTAGAAGTAATACTGTGTAACGCACCTAGAGTAACATCCTCCAGTATGGCCGCCACTAAACACGTGACTATTTAGCGAGATCGGATGCGTTCAGGGTGGTATGGCTGTAGACTAAACACATGACTATTTAAATCCAAACTAATTTAAGCTAAATGAAATCGAAAATGTACTGATAAGCAGCATATACTCTTGTTTTGCTCTAACACCATAAAGCAAAACTGGCACAATCCTCAGTCTATGCTGTAAACAGGTAAAAGTTTTAATAAAAATCCTTACTGAATTTCTTAGATGACAGATGCTTGTTCAGATAAGTACCTCACTAAAATATAAGATCCATGAACATGGATTTGTCTCTTCCGTTGTCTGCCTTGGGGGGAGTCACATAATGCAAACCAGGCCTGCAGTAGGCACTTGGTAATGATTTAGTAACTGAATAGATGGGAGGAGCAATGGCAGGCAGAGAAAGAGATGAAAGGAAGAGTCAGTTTTTCAGCTTAATTTTTGTGAGCCTCATAGAGCCTCATATTAATAATATTGTTATGGTTTTGTTTTGTTTTTGTCAAGGATTTCTTTATTCAAGATATTAATGCAGGCTTAAAAGATGAAACAGAAATACCTGAACAATTAGTAAGTACATTGACTTAATATTTAATTTCAAACAGTAGTTTTTATCTTCACATTGTGAATAAGCCATATTCCAATTTTTGTCTGGAGTAAATCTGGTGTTTTGAACTTAGAATGCATTTTCCTGTAGAATCAGTATTGTTAGCAGTGGTTAGTGCCCAGACTAGCTTATGCTCATAACAAGCTACAGTGTGCTCTGAGTTTCCTGTGATTCTTCTGAGCCTAGACTTTGTGACTTGGAGGCAGCTAGGGGAATTAAAGTAGCCTGGCAGAGACTGAGTACAGACTTAGCAGTGGGTGGCTCTAATGGCAGCTTAGAAAAGAGGTTTTATCAGAAAGAAGCTGTCATGGATGGGATTTGCCCAGCTGTTAGCCTCTACCCTGTCTCTGTCATGGTACTTTAAAGTATTTTGGGGCTCCATTATTTAGTTTTATTTTTGTGTATAGGTTCCAATTTCTTCTCTATCTGAAGAGCAGTTGGAAAACTTAATTAAGAAATTGAGAAAAGCAAGTGAAGGTAAGTCTGTCTAAAGTTGCAAGTTGAATTATTTTAGAGCAATTAGGTGGCACATGAGTTGATACTGTTCTGGTTTATGAGATGTTACTACTGTTGTTCTGAGTCCTGTGATGGACGCTTAAGCTTTCATGTTTATACTTGGCACAGGCTTGAATTCTACACTTAAAGATGACATTAGGTCCCATCCAGCATTACTTGATGCCCTGAATGACCCGAGAAATGGTGATTCTGCAATCAAGCACCTGAAACAGCAGGTATATTCATGCCACGATAACTACTTCTGTTCATTTGTTTAAAGCTCATATTCTATTCTTTCTCAACAGTTATTAATGATATTTTATTTAGTTTATTTTTCAAGGTACAAATTAGTTCTGTTTAAAAAAATATGTATAAACATGTATTAAAATTTTTGGTGTAGATGTGGTTCTGAGTAGAGAATTGAATATTTAAAAGTAGGAAAAGAATTACAGCCACACAGAAATGATCAGTGTGAGCTACTGCTTTAGATAGAAGTTACCTTGCTGTTTTCCCATGTGAGCCAAATCTGTTTGTTCTAGTTTATAAAATAATCTTGTGAAGTTTGCAGGCTTCTATTTTAGGTAACATTGAAAAATTAAAGCTACTTGGTCCAAGAAGATGCTTTGTTGAGTTTGGAGCAGGAAAGGGGAAATTATCCCATTGGGTTGATATTGCCTTAAAAGATGCTGAAAAAGTTCATTTCATCCTAGTAGAGAAAGTGACCACAAGATTCAAGGTGAGTGAACCCCTGCAGTGCATAGGAACCAACCTTCACTAACATTTTTCTTATTTAGAAAAAAAAGATAGAAACATGTTTCTTAAAATAAATTTCCTTTTTTATGTATTTGTTTATAGCTTTTTATCTGTCCAAATTATATTGATTTAATGCAATATTAAATTAATTTGAAGCTGAATTTTTTTTAATATGAATGTTTATGGTCTGTGATCTGTGTTCTTAGAATTATTTGCAGAGGGACTGAAGGTGTGACTCAAGTAGTAGAGCACCTGCTTTGCTAGCTCAAAGCTCTTGAGTTCAAATCTCTCTCTCTCTCTCTCTCTCTCTCTCTCTCATACACACACACACACACACACACACGCGCGCGCGCGCATACACAATTTGCAGAGCCAGGAAAATCTGTGAAAAGAGCCAAGCTCAATCTAGGAGCTCAAAGTCTTGGGTCCTACTCCTACATTTGCCACTGCTGACTTACTGTTCATTCAAAAAGTACTTTTGAGCTTACTCTTTGGCACCATAAGAGACACTGAGTATATAAATTATATAACGACTGTGGCTCAAGGGGTAGAGTGCTTGCCTAGCAAGTGGAATGCCCTGAATTCAAACTCCCAGTAATACGCACACAAAAGCTAAAGGCAAAACCCCTGTGCTCTGTTATTTATGTTTAGAATGAAGAGCTACACAAATAAGTAATTGTGGTAGAGTGTTAAGATGTGGAGACAACAACCAAAAAGTCTACACAGTGTATAGGAAGGAATGATAAGCTTCATTGCAGGGAAGTGATGGAGAATGAACTGTACAGAAAAAGTGATGTTTGAGCTAAACCTTGAGCTAAAGGTGAATTAGTGTTTGCTGGAGAGGGTTTCAGAAGCATTGTAAGAAGCAAGAACAGTGTAAGCAAATGGTCTGAAACAACAGGACACATGCAAACGTTCCTATGTGATAGGAGTGTGTGGTGTGAAGCAGACTTCTGCAGCAAAGAGACTGGAGAGAGAGCTAGCCTCACAGTGTGTGTTCAGGAAGAAGCTTGGCTGTATCTTGCTATGTGCTGAGGACACAGTGGAAAAGATTGGGTTTTGCCTTCTAGAAGTATACCTCTGGTGGGGCAGATATACAAGTTTTTTGGTTCTGTGTGCTGAGTCTGTTATGATTATGATAAGGACCTGATGCTCTGAGAGTGTGAAGATGGAGAGCCAGCCTCAGTCTATAGTGTGGGTTGTTGTGGAGTTGGTGGAGGGAGGGGAAGTTGGAGGAGATTGAAAGAATGTTAAGCGTTGTGAAGCAAAAGGGTTTTAAAGTTTATCCTGTCACCACCATAAGTCTGTATTGGAAGAACCTGAAACTTGAAGCAGGAAGATTGATCATTTTTACCCAATAATCTAACTAAGCAATGGGCCAGGGAACTAAGGCCTTTGTAGGGGATGTGCAGGAGGGGAGAGGAAGAGAACTGTTAAAAACATGGAAGCCACGAGGCTCACTAGTATCCATTGACTATGGAAGAGGAGTCATTCTGGGTAATGTTTTCATGGCTGAAGTAACAAGCGGTGTTCTTGGGGCCAGGAGGGTGGGTTTGGAGGAAGAAATAATGTTTCAGTTCTAGTTGTGTCCCCTTTGCTGTTGCATAGAGCTCTCCAGTGCACAATTGGAGACATGTCTGAGGGCTTGGCATGTAGCCTAGTGTTAGAGAACTTGCCTAGCATTCAGCAGGTCTTGGTTTTGATTGCCAGCACCATTAAAAACAAACAACAACAAAAATCACAGCTTTAAAAAAGGGACTAAGGGTGTAGCTCAGTGGTACTTGCCTAGCATATGTAAGGCCCTAGGTGCCAGGTATATTGGTTCACGCCTGTAATCCCAGTTACTCAGGACTTGGAGATTGGGAGGATCGTGGTTAAAAGCCACCTAGGCACAAAGTTAGGGAGACCCCATCAACAAATGAGCCAGGCGTGGTGGCATGTGCCTGTGATCCCAGCTACATGGGAGGTACAAGTAGGAGGATTGCAGTCTTGAGACTGGCTCCCAGACAAACACATGAGATCCTAACTGGTGGCTTACCCCTGTAATCCTAGCCACTCAGGAGGCAGGGGTCAGGAGGATCACGGTTCAAAGCCAGCCCAGGCAAATAGTTCGAAAGACGCCGTCTCAAAAAAAACTCATCACAAAAGAGGGCTAGTGGAGTGACTCAAGGTGAAGGCCCTGAGTTCAAACCCCAGTAATGCAAAAATAAATAAATATATAAATAAATAAAGGTAAAAGGGCTGGTGGAATGGCTCAAGCCATAGAGCACCTGCCTATCAAGTGGAAGGCCCTGAGTTAAACCCCAGTACTGAAAAAAAAAAAGATACATCTGATGATCCTTCAAGAGATTGAGCCAAAATGTAGACCTGTAAGTCACAGTCACATCTGTGTCGATTAAAGTGGTCGTGACTTTTCAAAGAGTAAGGCGAGGAGCGAGCCAAAGGAGAACACCAGGGGTGACAAAGGAGCTGGCAGATCATCTTCAGTAACCCACTGAATGTCTGGGAACTTCGCTCCTTTGTGAGGGTTGAAGGAAATGCATATATTATTTTTATTATATTGTACCTAACAGTTGATACAATTTTCAAGCCTTAGAAAATGATACTATTTTAGAGTTCTTATAAAAACTACAACCTTGAATTTTTTGTTCATTCTCTTTTTCAGCAGTAAAAAATAAGAACTGGTAACCTAGTCTGAATTTTGGAAAGAAACAGATCTTCATTTTTCATAAAGCTGGGTTTTTTGGTGATTACATAAAAAGTCACTGCTACAGCAATGTTCTGTTTACACAGGTGGACGGCAAGCACAGAAAGGAAAATTCAGTGTTTGAGAGGCTTCAGATTGATATTCAGCACTTGTGTCTGAGTGAGTTCCGTAACTTTCTGTTGTTCTGCCATAAATCACAGGCATTTCAAACTCTGAGGGCCGCTTAGAAATCCATTCATGCACAGTGGTGCTCCAGAAAAAACAAAATAAACTTAGTCTGCTGTTAATATAGGATATTGTTTGTAACAAATACATGTAAATTGAATTGGGATTGATACACTAAAAATTTGCATTCTAACTACGCCCGTGACTCACACCTGTAATCCCAGCTGCTTGGGGGGACTGAGATCAGGAGGATTGAGGTTCAGGCCAGCCTGGGTGAATAGTTTGAGAGACCCCATCTCCAAAATAACCAGAGCAAAATGGACTGGAGGTGTGGCTCAAGTGGTAGAGCGCCTGCTTGGCAAGCATGAAGCCCTGAGTTCAAACCCCAGTCCCACCAAAAAAAACTGCTTTTCAGTAGTAACTGTACACAAAGTGTTGTACTTGGAATGAGTTTAAAAATTTTGATAATAATGCCCTTATATTGCTTCTTTATATTGCTTCTTTGTCCTGTTTAAATTAATTTTGAGTCTGTTCATACTAGCTTTCGCTTTCTGCCTATAGTTAACGTGACTTTACCAAAACTATTAAAAAAATTGAGATAGTTCTCTGTGTAGCTATGTATAAAAGATACTTTCTAGAATTTTAAATTGTCCCAAACAAAATAAGTCATTGCTGTGGAATTCACATTCCATATACAAATACACCCTTCAGTCATTCTCTTCACTTCCCTGTTTTTTTCTTCTTTTTCACTTGCTTTTATATATCTTTTTTTAAAAATAGTTTTTTTTTCATATTTAAAAAAAGTAATGCAAATATCCCAACATTATCTATCTGCTAATTTTAATCTGGTCTTGAGAAGCTATGTGACATTTGTATCTAAATTACTGTATTTAAGATTATTTGACTAAATATATTACTTTCCTGATGTCATAAACCCTAAATAATTTCCTGCTTTATATGTTGGATTCTATAAAGTGAGAACCTTTTTTGTCTTTTACCCCTAAAATTGAAATTCTAATTCTCTGTGGCAGAAGGCCACATTAGTACTTTATCTCACAGATAGGTAACCTAGTTCTTGGTTTTATCGCAGGCAAGATCCCTGTGCTAAGAGAAGGCAAGCTACCTGTGGTAGGAATTGGAAAGCATCTGTGTGGTGTGGCAACAGGTATGTAAACACACAGATGATGCTGAAGTTGACAGTAAAGTTTTAGCTGAAATGGCCCCAACTCCTTCAGTGGTCTCTGCTGAGTACTTTAGATCTCTTATATTTACAACTTATAGTCTTCATAGGAGCACTGGCTAGTGTTACATCAGAAACAGGGCTTTCTTATTTATTTGGATCATTTTGCTATATGAATTATGAATTCCGTGTGTAAATGTTGTGTCATATGGGACCTTAAGGTTCTTTGAGTTAGATTTCAGCCAAAAAAGAGAACAGGTTATTTAGAGAAACTGACTCCACCCCAGAAAATGCAAGGTTTTTAAGCACCTAATTGGGAAGTACCTCTCCGACTGGAAGATTATTGTGTTTCAGGATTCTCAGGAAAAAGAAAAAAAGAAACAAATTTTCTTTCTTTTTTTTTTTTTTTTTTGTGGCAGCACTAGGGTTTGAAATCAGGGCCTCACGCTTGCTAGACAGGTGCTCTTACTGCTTGAACCTCTCCACCAGCTCTTTTTTGTGATGGGTTTTTTTGAGATAGGGTCTCGTGAACTGTTTGCCTGGGCTGATCCTCCTGACCTCTGCCTCCTGAGTAGCTAGGATTACAGGTGAGAGCCACCAGTGCCCTGCAAGAAAAAAGAAACTTTGAACTAGGAAATCTAGGCAGTCCCATATTCACACTTCTGTCCATCACATCTAACTTGTGAGAGTGCAAACAGCATGCATTTGCAAATCAGGTTGTTAGATATTTGTTGCCTCATCTGTGAAACAGGAATATGATTTATTATTAATTAGCTATTTACCAGGTTACAGGTGAAGTGTCTGGCATTAGTGGTGCTCACTGACTGTTACCTGTTGTTACATCTTGGCTCCTGCTGCTCGCTTCATCATCCACACACCTGGGGAACTTGGAGCCTCCATAAGACATTATTTAAGTTGACTGAAAATGATGACTTCTGTATATTTGTGTTGTCTGTCATAGTTTTTAGACTATGTTTTTATACCTTATCTTACTGAACCCTCACAAAAGCCTTCTGAAATAACCAATTCCTTTCTGGGAGGAAGCACATACCTTTGACTCTCCACCTAATCAGTGTTTCTTGAAAGTGTAACTCATGGTGGCCATTTCTCCTGTTCCATACACTCCCCTGACCCCTCTTGATTCACTCTATCTGAATTCCCCTATTATCTCTGCTGCAGTTGCTTGTGCTTCTTAAATTCTGTTTCCTTCTCTTTCGTGACACTTTCCCAGTTCTTCCCCTTCCTTCATCAATGCCACTCTTTCTGGTTTTTCATGGTCTTCCTCTACTTGTCCTTTAAATACCAGATTCAGAGCCATCTGCTGCCCTTCTACTGTCTTTCCCTTCCTTAAACTCCGCAGCAGCTCTCTGCCAGTTTCTGTCTCCAGCTTTGCTGTTCAGCAACATCAAATCCTGTGTACTTGCCATAGAAAGCCCTTCTGTTCTTACTGATCCTGGAATTGTAATCACCCAATCAAAATGGCTGGGCAGGGAGCCTCCTTTAAAAAATACCATCATAGTACTATACCCTTTGCATATCTTTATTATATTTTAATATGTTTATCTAAATCTCCTCACTGAGTTTTTTTTGAGAATAGGGTATGTGCTAATACAGTGCATGGAATGTAACACTCAGTGAATGTCTGAATGCATAATCTTGGCCACCAAATTGCTAAGTTTCCTTGCCCTTTCCTAGGTATTTGATTTTATCCATTAAGGGCTAGTGACTTTAAAGGTTACTATAAAAAAGAAGGGTGAGGTAGATTGCCAAGGCTCCCTTTAATTCTGAAATAACAATCCTTTAAGCAATTTTTCTGATAATTCACATTTCTGAAAAATCATTTGCTTAAGTCAGATGTAAATAAAACAATGACTTATTAGAAAATAATAGTTTATGGACCCAGATGTGACGGCATATCTGTAGTCCCAGCTACTTGGGAAGCTTAGGCAAGAGGATGTCTTGAGCCCAGGAGGTTAAGGCCAGTCTGGACAATATAGCAAGAACCTGCTCCCCCATCTCAAAACAAGAAAAAAAATAATACTTTACAGAATGATAGATTATCTCTCACTATCTCCAGATAATAGTTCCCAATACTGTTTGTTGGCTTAAATTCATACATTGAATTAAATTTACTTGTGAAATATCAAATCATTTAATACACACTTGTTACATCTTAGGATGATAAAATTTTTAAAAATGCACTTGAGGGCTGATAAGAGTGGCTTAAGAGGTAGAGTGCCTGCCTAGCAAGCACAAGACCCTGAGTTCAAACTCAGTACCACCCCCACACACAAAAAAATACTGTATGTGTGTGTGTATGCATTTGGGCTGAGAGTGGTGGTACATGCTACACGGGGAAGCAGAGGTAGGAGGATTATAGAGGCCAGCCAAGACCCTACGTGAAAAATAAACTAAAGCAAAAAGGGTTGAGGGCATGACTCAAGTGGCAGAGCACTTGCCTAGCGAGCTCAAGGGCCTGAGTTTAAAACCCCAGCACTGCCAATAAAATAAATGTCTTTAATTGCTTATGTTTTTAATTAATCAGACACAACATGACAGTCTAATCGGAGAAAAATGTAGGTTTTGTGGTGTACATCTGTAAACTTTCTAATATCGTCAAGAGAGTAGTATAGCAGTTTTCAGTGTGAAGTAGCCATAGTCATCAAAAATCCATCTTTTTAGTTTTAAGATGTGTTAATTTTTTTTTTCATTTTAATGTGGAGTACATAACCTTAATGTGTGTGTGTCATTCATCATTGCATCTTCAAGGTTTTGCACATAGAAGGCAACATTTAGTAAACACTGAATGAATGCTTACATGCAGTAAGGCCTCAGTGAAGCCTTCCTTCCACATTTTGGCCCCATTTGTCAACTTTCCAGTCCATTGCTATTTGCTGTGAAAGTCTTAATTTCAGTACTGGCATCCTGAACCTAGCATCAATAGGCTGAACAAACTTGTCTTTCTTCTTTTTTTGGGTTTCTTAAGCTCAGCATTACCTGGGAATGTAAGTGTAGGTAAATAAATGTTTTCTGTGCAGTTTATCTAGCTAGCGTAGGAGAAATGAGAGGCAATTCAAGTATTTGGACAAGAGTCTCAAATTGTAGATCTTAAGCTTCAGGTAGTTTTCTTGGAAAGTAGATTTTATGCAGAATAAGTCACTAAAAAAAAGATAGAAAAGAGCAAAACTTGAACAAAATTGATAATTTGTCATAGAATTACTATGAGTATATAGCTAAGTAGGTTTTTGTTGGGCAATAAAAAACCATACTGTTTAAGAAATGTAAAAAGTACTTATTTTTAAAGATGATATGGTTTGGGGGGGCACATAATTGTGTTTGCAGATCTTGCATTACGATGTTTGATTGAAACCTATGCTGCCAGTTATGAGGAAAGGAATGAAGAACCTTTAGCCAAACGCATAAAGAATGATAAAACAGAGACAAAAGTTAACACTTTGGCCAAGGAAGGAAATGAACGAAATGTCCCCGAGAAGTGGAGCCCTGTGGCTGGCATTGTTATTGCACTCTGTTGTCACCACAGGTGTGACTGGAGACACTATGTGGGCAAAGAGTATTTCAGGGCTCTCGGCCTTGGAGCTGTGGAATTCCACTATTTCCAGCGAATGAGTAGTTGGGCAACTTGCGGGATGCGGAAAACACTTTTAGAAGCGGCAGACATTACTACAGAGAGACAAGATCGTCAAAATGACAGTAGTGAAGAGCATGACGACGGAGGGTGCAGAGTCGCAGATGATGGAGCTGATGGCCTGCCTGGGTACGTGACTATGTTTATAGTATGCAACACTGAAGGAGAAGTATCTGTGATTGCTGCACAGTCGTCTTTCCCTTTGTCACAGGCATACATTCCAGCACCCCCAGTGGAGGCTTAAGACGGTGGGTACTGCCAAACCTCCACAGCCTGATAACCATGACTCCTGCAGCAACTAATGAGCGGGGAACGCATACAGTGTGGGTAACGCACAGTGCAGCTGGACTAAGGGATGGTCATGTCCAGGTGGAAAGGAGTGGGGTCCATGGGACTTCACCATGCTACTCAATAGAATGTCGCTAATTTAAAACTTAGGGGTTGTTTTTCTGCAATTTCCCATTTAGTATTTTCAGACAGTGATTGAACTTGGGTAAGTGAAACCAGACAAAGTGAAATAAAGGGGGACTACTTTCTTTTTAGATTCTATTATCAACAGTTTATTCAAGAAAATACATTTTACAATCCATTTTAGAGTACATTGAACTGCTTACATTTAAACTGTGTCATAGGTAAAATGTCTTGGAAGCATGAGTCGTAGCACCTTGTGTAGCGCAGGTTACTTCGAAGCTCCTCAGTGAATAGAAGTCACTAAAACACCTGTGATAAACTTTTACAGAATTTTAATTCATTTGTGTTTATTCAATTTAGGACTCTTACTGTTGAAGAAAAGAAGAAAATAGGGCATCTGTGTAAACTCCTGATTGATCAAGGCCGCATCCAGTATTTACAGCAAAAGGGATTCATTCCTGCTTTACAGAACTATATAGACCCCTTGGTGTCTTTGGAAAATGTATTGCTAACTGCTTTGCCATTTCATTCTTCGTCATCACAAACAACTGGTTAATGGAAAAGAAATTTGAGCATATCTGTCTTCCACAAAACAAATTTTTTAAATTATATTTTTATATTCATAAAAATAGAAATGGCAGATAATAGGAACTTTTAAAATACTGTGGCCTCATTAAACTTTGGCATTAGCATTGTTTTTTTACTTCAGAAGTCCAAACACAGAGCATTCACCAAATTCCCAAAGCAGTCCTCTTCAGCAGGACATTTTGAATTCTTTCATCCGTCAGTATTTATAGAGGTGGATAAAGTTGTTGGACAGTTGATTTGGTCATCTGGAACACACAGCACACAGCAACATATGATTAGCATATAAACCTTCTCTTCACAGTACTTTGGGAAATTTATTTTCCTTTGGTTTATTTAATATTTTTTATTTGTCAAGCTCAAGATGTAATGATTAATTATCAGTTTTTAACAAAGGCCAATCTGAGTATTTGGCTTAAGTGTGAATACTTGGCTGTGCAGATGTAAAAAGAATAACAATTGTGATTTTCTCAAATGCAAACAAATTCAGAGATGTTGACAATCAGTAAATGAAATCACCTTCAGACTTCCAGAGATATATTTGTGTTTATATACTATCAAAATTTGTCCATGACAAACACCAAAACTGAAGAGACATTTTCAAGAAGGAAAAAAAAAATCTATTTTCAGTTTTTTATTGTATAAATACCTAGGTAGAACTTCTAAAATGATACTTACAAGCATCAATCACAAATTAAGTTTGAAATTTACAAATAACTTTCAGAGTTAATTACATGATTCATATCATGTAAAGTAGAAATTAAATAATAAAACCAAAACCTTTTTCACATTTAGGCCTTATTTAACTGCTCAGTGGCTTCTATGCACAAGCAGATATTAAACCAAACATACTACTCTCGTCCACATCTTATTCTTGACTCGTTTCTACATCTGCTTGTAACAGTTGTCATAATCATTAGTACATATGCCACAAGTTCCAGAATCACTAATTTTAGAAAATAGAATGATATCAAGGTAACAATTTTTATCCTGAGTTTTCTATGGTTGTATGAACTGTAGATGAGAAGCCTGGCCCGTTTTTAATTTCTGCCTTTTCTACTTTAATCTCATGTATCTTGTTAGGCTGCCTAGCTTCCAGTTCCATCCCTGTCACCTCTCAACTGTGTGACCTTGGGAAAGCTACTTCTTTTTGTGCCTCAGTTTTCTCCTCTTAAATGGGGATGATGCTAATAATAAAAACACCTACCTCACAAGGTTGTTGTGTGCATCAAATGAGATAACACGTAAAATGCTTAGAAGTTCCAAGTACAGAGTAAATACCAACAAGTAGAAAGTTCATGAATCTATTTTTAACGACAGGCAGGCTTTTATTACCTCTTCGTTTACATTTAAGTTAGTTACACATACTTCTCAAGACAACATAAATGAAATAATACATCATTCAATCTTATTTTGTATCATAAATGTTCATTGTGTCATAAAATTTGTTTTGTATCATTGAACTTTACACCAAGAAATAAAAATATTCTACATCAGCCATAATCTCAGTTATGCTTCATAAAACATACTTACACACCCAAGAATTATCCTACTGAATCAATCAGTCCTGCGGCCTATTTAGCTTAATGATATGCTTCTGGTAATACCAAGTACTTTACGGGAAAATAAGCTTGTCCTTCAACATGCTAGCCTTAGGTCAAGATTTGTTGTTCCAACTTTTTTTGTGGTCTGGGGCTTGAACTCAGGGCCTTCACCTTGCGGCACTCCACCAGCCCTATTTTTGTGAAGGCTTGTTTGAGATGGGGTCCATGGAACTCTGCCCAAGCTGGCTTTGAATCATGATCCTCCTGATACCTGCCTCCTGAGTAGCTAGGATTGCAGGCATGAGCCACGCACCCGGCACTCGGCTCCCAACCTCGTTTTATTCTCACATAGGAGAAAGTGACTGCGTAAGATACGCAGATAGCTACTTCTTGATTGGTATACTTTTCAGGTTCAGCAAACCCCTTCTTGAAACTTCACATTCAACTGCACAGTTACCGCGTCTTGCATGTTGCACAGGTGCATCCAATTTACTTTTAAAATGGGAACTCGTCCTCAGCTTCTGCCACCTCCCTCTGCTCACCAACACAGCTTCTGTACTTCCCTCCCTATCTTGGCACCAGCATTCGTCCAGTTGCTGGTTATCCTGAATTCCCTTTCTTCATTTTCCTTCAGTGATCAAGTTTATCTCCTACTTGTTTTTGATGTATTTTTCCTCTCCGCTTTCCAGAAGTAGGCCCCAAACTGTCAGAACCTCTTTAGTGGTCTTACCCCAACGTGTCATCCATGCTATTCCTTCTGTGGTCTTAATCCTTCCTTTTTGTGGTGCTATGGATTGAGCCCAATGCCTTAAGAATGCTGGGCAAGTTCTCTGCCATGGAACTGTCTGTCCTCAGCCTGTAGTCACCACTTCCTAAAGAAACATTCCTAAACATCCTCCACGAATACTGGCAAAAATGATTTTCCCTAGCAGAAAAGCTGTTACTGTCTTCTCTGCTTACACTCAGTTTTCAAAGTCACTTTCTCACATTGAGTTAAACTACAATCTTCCTTTTAAGGCAAAAACCCTTCACGCTTTGGCAAATTACAAAACCATGGCTTTTATTACTATATTGTTTCATTGCTTGTATTAACAGAGAATTTACCCTTGGCCTCAGATTTAAAGATTCTTTAAAGAATCTTTGCTTCTTTAAAGGCTTGCTCCTTAATTAAAAAAAAATTATAAGAGACTAAGTGATTGTAATCTGTATATCAAAACCTCATATGTAACTGTTGGTTAAAATCTATGTTCTAAGAAAAATGGTCTTTTGCCATTTGTGGATTATATAGAGAGAAAAAAGAGGGAAGGAAAGGGAAGGCAGTTCATTCTCAAACTGACAAGGATAGCCACTGGTAGAATGAGGTAGTGATGCTTTAAGAATCACGTTGATGACTGGAATTATAGCTGCAGCCCAGTGATAGGATACTTGCCTAGCATGCCAAAAGGCTTGTGTCTGATTCACCAGCACCAGCACCACCACCATCGCCCCCCAAAATAGAGAATTACATCTTCATACACTTGATTGTGTTTCAGGTGCTTAGTCAAAGAATTTATTTCCTAACTCCATTGGAAAAATTTGGATACAATCACTCTCTTGCAGTCTTTACCAAAATTAAAGAATTTCCCTTTATTTTTCCCCTCCCACAATATTGCCCAAGACCAGAATTTGGTAGAAAAGGCAAGAAGGATGAGAAATACATAAAGGAATGATGAAGAAGTTATTTCTATCCCTAGAAAAGATTTAAGCGGTGGTGTATACAAAGCTCATACCTGCTTTTTGTGACTCCTGTATGTATGCATGCATAAACTGGAGGCCAAATAATTCCTTTTCCTCTTCTTCCTCAGGGCTATCACTGGGAGGAAGTGTTACTTCCAGTTTTAGTGGGTTGTCTCTGAAGTTGACAAACCTAGCAGTTCACCAAAAAACAGTATTTTTATAGGTGTCTTACAAGTGTGTGTTTATTTCCCTGGAGAAAGATCAAATGACAACATGCTAAATTACTCTTTTAACTGGTTTCAATAACAACATCTTGGTGAGATGTGATATATCCCAAGACTTTAAGTTTCTTTCCTAGAAGAAAAAAAATTAGCTTTAGACAACTTATTTCCAAAGATTTTTAAAGCAGCTATTAGTTCATAGCATGCATTGAATGTGGTAAGTTTAACATTTAAGAGCAGTTTTAATGTATTTGAAATATGGAATTCATTCTATGAATTTAGTAGACCTGTTTCATAGACTTGTGTCTCAACCTTCTAGTACAGGCTAATAGTTATTGAATAAGTGAAGGGATGAATGGATTTTGTTGTGGAAGTTTTGAGGTTGGGTGTCTGTTTACTTATTCTCACTGTCAGGAAGTTAAATTTTGAAAAGAAATGATGGGGTTTTGATTAGAAAAGAATCATACCTATTTTCTATAGGTAATCTAATTGTATGCACTTATAATTATTTAGAAGGAAGATGATCAGTCTGTTTATGCTTTTGGCTTTTATACTGCTGAGGCAGTTTATTGGCCTATAAAGATAATTTTCATGAAAATATTACCAACATAGCTTTTTTTTTTTTTTTTTTTTTTTTTTTTAGGTGGGACTGGGGTTTGAACTCTGGGCTCAACACTTACAAAGCAGATGCTCTCCTGCTTGAACCACACCTCCAGACCATTTTGCTCAGGTTATTTTGGAGATGGGGGTCTCTAAAGCTATTTGCCCAGGCTGGCCTCAAGCCACAATCCTCCCAATCTCAGCCTCCCAAGTACCTAGGATTACAGGTGTGAGCCACCAGTGTCCAGCTTTTTATTAAAACTGATAAATTCCAGTATTATTTTAGTTTCAAAGATTTTCTGAAATAAGTTAGACCAGTGTTAATGAATCCTATCCACCAAATTATAGAGTCTCAACACTGGGAAAGATTTTTAAGACATCATCCATGTAAATAAGGACACAAATTTATTAACCACAATCTCTCAATATTCTGCAACCTTTTACCTCAGATTCTCCATTTCTCCCATGCATACGGGGATATCGTGCAGTTTATTGTTGCTGAGAACAAGAGTGCTCAGGTTTTTCATATTGCTGATTGTTTCTGGCAAGCATGTTATTTCATTCCGCTGTAGCCATAATGTATGTAGACTCTGCATGCTGACGAATTAAAACAGGTTTCTGCAGTTAGTCACATATAATATTAAAAGCAGGTTTTTAATTACCTTAAAAATCAAAGAAATGTCAGTTTTTAAAATATCTTCTTTAATCAATTTTTACTGGTTGATTTAACTGGCTTCACATACCCTGGTGTTTAGGGAAACTACACCCAGGAGTTAATCTCTCGTGTAGCCCTCATCTAGTGTTAGGAATAAAATCAACATACTATGGAGTTCTTCATATTGCTCACAGTTTTCTTAAATGCTGTAGATGTCATCTAATCTGAGTCTAAGAGAAAAGTCAGCAATAATATGCCATTCAGAGCAAGGCAGTATGTGTAATTTTTTCTTTTTGGCCGGGCTGAGTTTTGAACTCAGGGCTTCAGGCTTGCAAAGAAAACCCTCTACCACTTGAGCCACACCTCCAGTCCAGGGCAGTATGCATAATGACTGACAGTACATAATAGGGCCAGAATGCCTAGATGCCTACCTAGGTTCAAATCCTAACTAGTTAGTTGCTTACTAACTGACCTTGATCTTGGGGAAGTTCACTAACATCTCTGCATGAGCTCCCTCGTTCTTTTGGGAAGTGCACAGAAGTGCCAGGCAACCACTAAGTAATGTTGTTCTTGTGGCATATTTTCCGGTAATGTCCTGAAGTCACATAGCCACTTTCCCCCTCCTCAAACTCTTTTACATATTTGGAATAAATGCAAAGACCTGCTGCAAAGCAGCATATCTCAAACCAAATGGACCTGTTGTGATGGATTACGCTGGGGACCCCTTCGTCTTGTTTAGTTTGCTATTTCTTGTTTTTCTCAGGTGGTGTTAAGGCATCAGTCCGCAGTATGCAAAGTCACCTTACCTTTCTATAGTATCAGGAAGTCGTTCAAGTTTGTTGCTTCCCATGTCCAGCCACTCCAAGGCAGGCATGTCCAATACCGCAGAAGGGACTGTGCTGAAGTGGTTCATACTCAAGTCTAGGTGAGTAAGTTTTAGCAGTCTGCTAAGCTGAAGAGGAGAGCATGGTTTTTCTAGGCAAATGTCCACAGTGTAAACTACTAGAAGATTCACATGGATAAAGGGGCTATTTCACATCAGGGAACGTTCATATTACACTTGGACTTTGTTTAAGCACAGCAGTCCACAAAAAAATAAATATAAAATAAAGCTAAATAGGGTCCGGTGAGATGAAAACATCTCATGAAAATTACATCTATTAGGGCTGGGGATATAGCTCAGTGATGGAATGCTTAGCATTTGTGAGACCCTGGGCTCAGTTCCCAGCAGAGAGCAGGAGAAGGAAACAGCAAGAAGGAGAGGGAGAGGGAGAGGGAGAGGAAAAATTGTATCTATTCAAAGAAAATTCATTTTCCAAAATAACCAAGTTCTAGGGTTAACAGAAAGAACCTGCATGGTAAAAGGTTTTGTTTGGTTGGTTTTTGGGTTTTTTTTTAATACTGAGAGTAAGCATTTATTATCATGTTTTATTTTCATCCTGTAGTTGAGAGTTACACAGAAAAAACTTAATCTTCAAAATAATACTTACTTTTACTGAAACTTTGTCCCTTAATTTACACACATTATCTCAAACATCATATTTACTGCTTGGTAGTCCTAGTTTCTAAATGAAACAAGCAACCAAAAATTATTGCAAATAAGAGGACAAATGCTAGTGTGTTCAGTTGAAAATCAAAACTGTATTGGTGTGGCAGTGCCCTCTGTTGCTCCTCCTGTGCTCCACAGATAATGTCTGTCCTGAATTTGATATCTATCGTTGCCACATGTTTTCATGTCCTTATTGGCATAGAAAAATACATTTTCTATGTATTTCTATCTATAAATATTATATTATATATATATGTTTTCATAAAATTTAGTGCTTGTGTTTTAATGTAAAGATTATGATACTGTACTTATCTTACACTTGCTTCTGTTTCCCTCTGTTTTAGAATGTGTTCATATTGATGATTTTTAAATATCTCTTTTTTGGCAGTACTGGGAGTTCAGCTCAAGGGCCTTGTACTTGGGTGCTTTACCAAGTATTCCACCAGCACTTTTTGCTTTGGTTATTTTTGAGATAGGGTCCTGCTTTATACCCACTGGCCTGGACCATGATCCTCTATTTATGCTTCCCAAGTAGCTGGGATGACAGATGTGTGCCACTACTCCCAGCCATTGATTGAGATGGGGGTCTTGTGAACTTTTTTTACCTGGGCTGCCCTTGTTCAGTGCACTTGCACACCCATGTTTATTGCAGCAGTAGTCACAATAGCCAAGTTACGGAAACAGCCAAGATGCCCCACTACTGATGAATGGATAAAGAAAATGTGGGATTTATACACAATGGAATTCTACTCAGTCGTGAAGAAGAACGAAATCTTATCATTCTCAAGTAAATGGATGGAACTGGAGAACATCATCCTGAGCGAGGTTAGCCAGGTTCAGAAGACCAATATCTGAAAGTTCTCCCTCATTTTTTTTTTTTTTTTTTAAAGTTCTCCCTCATATGTGGACTTTAGCTCTAGGGCAAATACAGCAAGGGGATTGGACTTTGGCCACATGATAAGGCAAGAGCACACAGGGAGGTATGAGGATAGGTAAGAAACCCAAAAAACATGATAGTATTTGATGTCCTCAATGCAAAGGAACTAATGAAGAAACTTTATAGCGACAGAGGCCAATATGAGAAAGGGATCAGGAACTAGAGAAAAGGTTAGTTCAAGAAGAATCAACTTAGAATGTAAACACATACGTACATGAAAGCAATGTGAGGAATCTCCCTGTATAGCTATCCTCATCTCAACTGCAAAAACCCTTTGTCCTTCTTATTAATGTTTATACTCTCTCTTCAACAAAATTAGAGATAAGGGCAAAATAGTTCCTGTCTGGAAGTGAGAGGGGGTGGAGGGAGGGGGGAGAAATGACCCAAAAATTGTATGGACATATGAATAAACGAAAAAAAAATTGAAATAAAAATACTAGGCAAGCATTCTACCTGAACCATGCCCCAACCCAGCACCAGAACCTTTTGATTTTAGAAAATTGAAAAGATAATAAAGCAAGTATAGTATAACATCCTTATTTTGCCTATGTGGAAGCTGACATCTAGTCATGTAAGGCGGTGTGTCCAAGGCCACATGGCTACTTATAAGCCACACTTTGGGGTTTAAACAATCCCAGACTCAAGATTTCAGTTCAGTATTTCTTCCATTTGTAATCTGCCTCCTAAAGTGAAGAAATTAAGGTAAGAGACTGGCTAATAGACATACACATATTCACATAGCCTACAGATGGCAGCCAATCCTAGGAACAAAATCATAGGAATTAGAAAAAAATTACTGGCCTTTGTTAATGTGTAAAGAAATTGTCCATGTGATTGTTTTTTTGTCATGTGGAAAGGCACACATTTCATTAAATATGACTATTACATGATGAAATGTACACACATACATATATGCACTATATTTTATTTATAAGAGCAACTACTATTGGTGCCTTGTTCACTGGTTTTGGAAAATAAGTCTAATACATTCCCCAACATAAATGGGAACAGAGAATAGATTTATTTTTATTTTTATTGTTTTTCTTAACTTTTATCTTGCAAAGTCATTGTTTCCAAGGTAAAATGCCATGGAAATTTGCTGATTGTAAGAGCATTAAGTATGTCTGAAATGCAAATGTCTATTTTATATGATCAATCTGGTTTAACAGTGACAAGATAGCAAGTCAAAGTTTGAAGGCTTTTCCATCCCTTAGCCTTATTACTGGATAGAGACAAGAAGCTGACAAGCAGCATGCTTCCCAGATTTACTTCTGTCGCAATCACTGATCGCTGTCAACACAGGCAGTAAAAGGGGTTTTCTATTATCACCACACACTAGTGTGTATTCCCAACAATTCAAAAAAACCACTTATTAAGAGCTGGGGTATAGTTCAGTAGGAGAACACTTGCCCAACATCCTCCAGGCCCTGGGTTCAATCTCCAGTACGGCCAAAGGAAAAGCATTTATTAAGTAACCACTACATCCTAGGCTTGTCCTTAATTCTAGGAATTTAAATAAAATAAAATTCTCATTCTGGCCGCCAATAAGATGACAATCTAGTCAACAAATGATGTCAATATGTAACAATAGCAGGAGGATCTTTTGTGTTAAATAGATTCTTCTTTGGCTAAAAACCTGAATTCACTGAAGGCATGGCTCAAGTGGTAGAGCACCTGTCTAGCAAACTCGAATCCTGAGTTCAAACCCCAGTACCGCCAAAACAAACAAGAGATCCACATTATACTTTTAATTATTTTCACTATGTATTTTCCTGAAATAAAAGTCTTAGCAATTCCTCGTGAGTTTTATTTTTTTATTATTGTTTTTTAAACTTTTACTTCTTTTTTGGTGGGACTTGAGTTTGAACTCAAGTTCATGCTTGCAAAGCAGGCACTCTACCATTTGAGCCACACCTCCAGTCCATTTTACTCTGGTTATTTTGGAGATAGAGTCTTGCAAACTATATGCCCAGGCTGGCCTCAAACCTTGATCCTCCCTATCTCAGCCTCCAAAATACCTAGGGTTACAGGTGTGAGCCACTGTGCCCAGTGAGTTTTATTTTTTTAACAATCCCACAGTTGAAAAATAAACTGCTCATAGACAGACAAATATATCATAGGTATTTAGATCTTTCTGACCTCTTGTGGAAGATCACAGATATCTCTGTTAACAGCCAGTTCCAGTTTCTCCAAGCTGGCACAATTACTTAGTTCCTTGGGTACGGTTTTGATTTTGTTGTAGCTGAGAATCAGTTCCTGGAGTCTAGTGAGCAATCCTACAAATTAAGTAAGTAAAAACACAGGGAAAACAGATGGTCAAAATGTTTCCAGTTACTAAGCATTACAGCATTGATGAATTTACAGATTGACAAATTCATAGACCTTATTTTCTTCCCTTTTCCTAATCTGTGCCCTGCCCCCTCAGAGTCACAGGAGTTGAAGAAAACTATTTTCATTGGTCAGATCTACGTTACAAATCCTGTGCTGAGGGTGGCGCTCAGTGGTGGAGCCCTGGCCTAGCGTGCACCAGGCACTGGTTCTGATCCCCAGCAGCAAAATCAAAAAACAAACAAAATGCACTATGCTCAGAGCAATTTTTCATTTGGAGATTTGCCCCCCACTGTGCAATGAATCTTTTAATTTTATTGTGTGCAACAAACAGTTGTAAGAGAAATAGCCAAACCAGCAATGTTGTTTCTAAACTCTGCAGAACGGTGTTTACAGAGAGACTTTCCTCACGTGAAATTGCACCTTGAATCATCTCAACAAACCCTTGGAGCTTCAATTTAGATTAAATATTTAAAATCTCAGGATTCAGGAATATATAAGGATGAGATCTTTAGCCACATATCAAAAACAAATTTCTCAAAAAACACCGTCTGCCAGTAGATAAAGCAGCACAAGAATAAAAACAATCTTCCTTACCAATTCCTCGAGGTATCTCTGAAATTGTGTTCCGAGATAAATCTAGCACAAGGAGGTTCTGAAATCTCCCGATGAACTCAGGAATTTTCAACAAACCAGTTCTATGAAGTTGCCATTCCTGTAGTTGACTCAGTTTCAGTAAAGAAGCAGGAAGAGTCTAGAGTAAAAAATAGCAGAGCTATTACTTTACTGAAATAGTTTAGCAATACACCACACTCGCGTGTGACTTTCATTTGATTTGTAAAAACACTTTGGAATATTTTCTCCTTACTGGGTTGCATTTCTGTACTTTGTGTTACTTCTGAGTTCTAAGAACTTTACGTTTTTTTGTTTGTTTGGGTTTTTTTGCTAAACCTTCCAACTCCAATCTTAGAATAAACAAAAATAACCTATATTGATCAATAATGCATACACATAAAAGTCTGTCCTAAAGATTCTGTTGTGTTAGGCTTTCCTTGAGCACGTGTGAAATGTGAGTAATGAGAGCACCAACATGAGAATGTAAAAAAAATCAACGTAATCAGTAATTTAAACTTCACTTCCTCTTCTGTTTTGAAGGATCTTATAAGTAGAGATTTTTTTAAGTTTTTTTAAGTTACAGATTTTAGAGTTTCAACTGTTCTGAGCTCTATTTGTTTTCCATTTCAGGCTAAGATAGATTAAAGAGAAAATAAGGACATTAACTATGCAGCTAAACGTAGGTATATATATGAAAATGAGCACTGACCCCAAGGTGGGAAGCCCTTGTAAAAATTAGAGTATGCCTCATATAACTAAGCGACTGTGTGTGAGTGCACATGTGTGCAAAGGAGAGTGAAAGGATACGAATGAGCTACACCTAACAAAAAATTAGCATCCATTTCCATTTTGTAAAGCCTTTTGTTTTGCCACTACTGGGGTTTGAACTCAGGACCTTACTCTCGCTATGCAGGAACTCTACCACTTGAGCCAATGCACCAGCCCTGTTTTGTAAAGCTGTAATCAAACATTCTTTGGAAATCTATGTGGTACTCATTAGTAAGATGGTCACCTTTTTATAGAAAATGAGAAAATGCTTATTAGAAGGATGAGGAGGAAAAATACCACAAATGACTTGAGTTTAGGCAGGTGGAAGAAAATTAAAGCTTTTCAAAAAATTTTGTGAAGTTATGTTTCTTTTCTGTGTTCATGGTGCCCAAGTTCATCTGTCATATTATTAGAATTAGAATTTCTAGCTATTCCAGTCTTCCTTACACAGCCTCAGAGTCACTCTCTCAACTTTCCTACACAGTGCAAAAAGTCAAGTATTCCTTGTCTAGAGTTTACCTTCCATTCTTCATTTTCGATCTTCAAAATGACTCTTCCATCTTCCCTGGTGACCTTTTCTTTTAGCTTAGTTAAGCTTACTCGTTCTTCCCAGATCCGCACTAGCCTAGGAGACCAGAAAATCATCGTAGTTCATAGGTAATGACATAGGTACCGTTCAGTTTTGTGTAAAAAAGAAAAACGACTCATCAAAAATAACCATTGAAGCCAGGTGTGGTAGCTCATGCCTGTAAACCCAGATACTCAGGAGATGGAGATTAGGAGGACCAAGGTTCAAGGCCAACCTAGACAAAGAATAATGAAACACCCCATCTCATTGCTGGCATGTCTATGTGTGTCTGTTGTAGTTCCAGCTTCTGGGGCACAGGTAGGAATGAGACAGGATAGATCAGGGAAATTGAAGCATGGGAAACAGCAGCCAGGAATTCACAAATAAACATTGCACTAATGAATAGCTCAACATATAGCTCCTGGTTTCTCTGCTTCGAGACTTATACTCTCTCAACAAACTGCAACATTTACTGGAAAGAAAAAAAGAGCAGCTCTCTCCCTCTGGTCTTGCCCACTTGCCCAAAGGTAATTAGTGCACTCTGAGAACTAAGCAAGGATATCTTAAAGAAAGACACTTACCCTGGAAAGGGACTCTTGGGAAAATGACTCTTCTGGGCACAAAAAGTATCTACAAAGGAAAATATTTATCCCAAGAATGGACAGCTGTCTTGTAAAGGGAGCATCTGGTAGGACCCATCCTTTGTTTAAAGGAATGTTCAAACATCTGGGTCATCGTGACTCAAATTTAATGGGCAGGCCAGCCTTGAAATCTTTGGGCTCAATTGATAAGACAGTGTAACAGCAAAAGCAGCTCATTATTCCAGTGTCAGAGCAAAAGAGAGCACTTTCCTGAAGGTAAATTTGAGCCAAAACCCACATCCCATTTTTTCACCATAAATACCTCTGTTATCAGATGTTCCCACACCCATGTCTGGGTTCTATACTATCTTTCCTTTGCTTTGCTTTACTAATAAACTTTCTCTGTCTCTACCTTGATGAGATCTAACATTCTTTTTTGCAAAACTCATGAACTCAGTGCCCAAGAGCCAGGTAGAGAGACCTTCCCCGTTTTGAAGACCTCCTTCCTAAGCATCACTGATTCCAGTAACAGGAGGATCGCGGTCTGAGACCAGCCTCAGGCAAAACCCACAAGACCCTATCTGACAAATAGCCTTAAAAAAGCAAAAAAAAAGTTCTGGGGGTGTGGCTCAAGTGACAGAGCGCTTACTTAACAACTGCAGGGGCCTGAGTGCAAATCCCAGTATCACAAAAAAAAAAAAAAAACCACTGGGCCAATGGTTTCTGGAAATCAGATAAGAATTACAAATATGATTAGTATCACAAATATCCTACTGTACAGCAGCTGCCCCTCTGAGAGTTATCCTTTGTACAGTTACTTCTCCCTTGCCTCAGCATTCTAAATTCTTTTTCTTTTTCTTTTTTTTATGCATTGGGGTTTGAACTCAGAGCTTCATGCTATAAAGCAGGGGCTCTACCTCCTGAGCCACTCCTCCAGTCCATTTTGCTCCGGTTATTTTGGAGATGAAGTCCTTCCTGCTATTTGCCCAGGTTGGTCTTGAACCTTAAACCTCCTGATCTCAGCCTCCCAAGTAGCCGGGATCACAGGCGTGAGTCACCAGTACTTGGCCAGTATTCTAAATTTTAAAGAAAAGTTGCACTTGAATGATTAAGATGTTAACTGCTACATAATCTTTCTGTAGGTGTTTATTTTGTTTTTTACAGTGCTGAGGATGGAACCCAGGGCCTCACACACACTGAGCAAATACTCTACCATCTTTCTTTATATTTAGAGAACCCAGAACATCTAGGGGCCTTCAGATAACACCCGTGTAACACTCCTCATTATTTAGTCCTGTGAATCAGCTCACACAAAGCATGTAAATTGCTGTGAGGATTAACTTGCAGAAAAGTAACATGTTTGTCAAGAAAGTATTACAGAAACTAGCCCAGGAGGTGAAGGTCACTATGATGTTCCAGCCAGAGGAAAAAACAGGAGAGCGACGCCATGGATGGGGACCCCACCCAGCATGCTGTGTTCCTGAACCTTCTTTCCCTCACTGTAAAGCCCTTTTGCATACCTGAGCTCTCTCGAGTGGTCTTTTTGGTGGATGAGAGCTCCCCATTTTTCTAAGGTTGTTGACCCTTGCATAAACCTGACTTCTTTCCCACCAACTCTCTTCTTGCTAGTATTGGCTTTTGAGCAGATGGACTTGGTGCTGGTAACACTCCTTTTTTTGAAGTTGGTTTGTTTTAGTGCTGGCGGTAGAACCCAGGGCCTTGTGCACACTAAACACAATCCTAAGTTTTTGAAAAACTCATAATCCTTCATATATTTGACTTATAGTAGCTTTATTGATACATAATTCACATACCATAGAATTCATTCTTTTTAAGGTATACAGTTCAGTGGTTTTTGGTATTTTCACAGTATTAGCTACCCATCTCCAGTAATCCCAAAATGTATCTTACCCAAAGAAACCCCTCTATACCCATGAGCTGTCACTCCCCATCCTCCCCTTTTCTTCCCCTGACATTTGTTCTTTTTTAGGAAATCCTAAACTGTTTCCAAATTGGCTACAATGCCAATAGTGTATTGTAGTTTCTTCACATCCTTGCCAGTACCTGTTGCTGTCCTTCTTACTGATTGATTGACTGAGGCAGGATTTCACTCTTTAACCCAGGTTGGCCTTAAATTCTTGATCTGCCTGCCTTAGCCTCCCAAATGCTTGGATTATGGATATGTACCACCATGCCTGGCAAGACCAAGCTTTATAATGCTGTAAAATGATTTTATAATGAAATTGTTTTAAGATTATAGAAAGTATGCTGAAATTGTGCTTTATAAACTCCACATAAGGTTTCTTCCTTTCTTTTTAATTTGTGGTGTCAAGAGATCAAACCCAGGGCCTCATGCAGGCTAGACAAGTGCTCTACCACTGAGCTACAATTAGCAAACACTCTAGATCTTAAGCAATCTCTTAAACAATCTCTTTTTTTTTTTTCCCTCAAAGGTTGTCAGAAAACTCCTCAATTTCTAGACCTAATGGTAATGTTCATAGAGGTGTTTGTAAATTAACTCTTGGAAACTGCATTTCATTAACAGATACCTCCTGCTTAATCACAACATAGTCGTGAAGACTAAAAACAACAGGGGGCAAATAACGCATTCTCATTACTTTTATGCAGCGACGACAAAGCTGCTGAAATTCAATGACCACCAGTTGACCACCATCTCCTTTGACTCAAATTTTGTGTTCTGCCTCCTTTGAATCCTGTGCTTTCCTCTTTGTCTCTGTAGAGTACAGTGTGAGCAAGAATCCTACTAAGCCAGTTTAGTGAGAATCCCTTTCCTTTGGTATCTGACTGCCTCCTTGAGCAACAATCTTATCAAGTCATCATAGACAGAAGTCCCTTATCCTTGAGGTCTGAGTCTGCTGACACCTCACCCCTTGGTTATAGATCCCCACTTGTGTGTGTTTTGATCAGTTAAGTCCAGTCTCCATCACTACAAGTCCACAGGGGCCTCATACCTAGTGCCACGGCTCCCCTTCAGTAAATAAAGTCTGTCTGACCATCTTTCGCAAGTGTCTGGATAACTTTTTCTTTCACACAGAAACAAGTAATAGGTGAAATCCAAGAGTTTAGAACCTACTCATGATTCCTGGTCACTGTTTTAAAAATAGGTAGAATTTATTAAGAATACTCTAGATTCAAGTTTACCAGAATTGCACAAATATAAACTTAGTTAATTTAATAAGAATAGCTTTATTTAAAAGGGGGGAGGTTATAATCTAGGAAATGTAAGACCTGAGGTGAGTCAGATCCACATTTATTTGTGAAGTGACCTTTAACAGGTTCCTTAGGCCTGTCCCTTAGGTTTTTCCCCTTTAAGTAGAGAAATAACAGTACTCACGTGTGACAATATCAGGTACTCCTCTTATTCCTCAATAATAAATCCTCTAGCTGGGCATGCCTGAAATCACAGCACTCCAGAAGTGGAGGCAGAAGTGTCACGAGTTCTAGGCCTGCCTGGACTACATAGGAGACCCTCTCTCACCAAAAAAAAAAAAAAAAAAAAAAAAAAAATCCTCTAAAGTAACTGGGCAAAGACACTTGGTCATTCTCTCAAAATTAGGTATGGGCTATACCAGGTTTTGGCAACAAGAGGTTAGCAGGAGTAGCATGTGCAGTTTCCTAGAAGTGCAGGATCCTACTGGCCTGGAAACAAACATGGTGGCCATAGCTGCTGATTATGGGGGAGAAGTGGGAGCTTTAATAATGGAAACCACAGGCAGTTGAGCGACATGATAGAGTGCTGTGTGTGTCTGAGTCCATGGAGTGCTATTCCATCTCTAGCCCAGACATGGTGCTCTGTCTGCATCTTATCAGAACATTGAATAGAAGCTGGGTGTGCTGGCACATGCCTGTAATCCCAGCACTTAGGAGGCTGAGACAGTAGATCTGGAGTTTGAGACCAGCTACATGAACTGGGTTACAGAGGGAGATTCTGCTTCCAAAATATATATGTATATATGTGTGTATGTGTTTATATGTGTGTGTGTGTATATATATATATACACACATACATATATGTAAAATAACAGAGCTTTTGTAAGCCTCACTATTATTATTTTGGTTTCCTTCTCTGGAAATGCAACCTAACCCCCATCATGACACTTTTTCAGCAGGTGAAGATGATTGAGTAAATGACAGAGTACAAATAAACCGCTTAGCAGAGTCCCTAGTAAACAGTAGCACACAGAAGTGGCTGCTTCCCTTACCTGACCCTGTTACCGTGGCATGGAATTGGCTTTATTGGCTTTGCATAGGAGGAATGGTTTCTCCCCATCCTGATCTTTTATCTTTACTGACATTTACCAGACACAAATCATTGTTTATCAATGACCATTCCTGCCTGTTCCCTACTCTTTTTCTTTTCTTTTTGAGACAAAGTCTCACTATGTAGTCCAGGCTGACTTTGAACTCTCTATCCTCCTGCTTCAATGTCCTGAATGCTGGGATTATAGGTGTGAGCCACTATGCCTGACTGCCCTCTATTCTTTGCTGAAAGAATACCAGTTGTTTCCATGTGTTTGCCCTTCCCCCTAGAATCAGGGATAAATCTTGGCTTGCCCAAACCAAGCATGCAATCTCATTCCTCTGGAAGGTAACTGGATTAGTTATACAGATGATCCAAGGAGAGGCTAGGGAGAGGTCTGTGAGAAGAAAGAAACTCATGTCCATTCTTCTGAGGACATAATGATTCTTGGCTGGGGTGCCTGGAAGGGCCTTGGCCTCTTGTGACATCGAGGGACACTGACCTGAGGGTCAAGCCAAGTGGCTTTGGAGATGGAAATGAAACTGAGTCTTCACTGTGTTGTGGCCTCACACTGACTGCCTTTGGAACTGCCTTTCTCTTCTTGCTTAAGCCTTTATAGTTGGTTCTTCTGTTTTTTGCTAACTGACATTATCTAATTTATTATTTAAGAAGAGACTGAATGAGTGAGAATTACAGGGAGCCACGTATAATCTATGAGCAAAGGGACTACTCGTGCGGGATTGGTAGAATACACTAGAAAACTGGGAAGATATCAAGGAAGCAGAGGAAACGAGGACCATACTCGCTACATAAAGCTGTGATCAGGAAATCGGGTGATCTTCAGAGGCCCTGGCTGCAAATAGCAGCTATTCAAATAGCTGGGAATCTACAGTACCTTCTATTTCCACATCTTGTTACATTTATTATTATTTTAAAATTTTTTATTATCATATTATTGCTGTATTGGGCATACACTGTGACATTTACAAAAGTTCTTACAATATATCATAGTTGAATTTACACCCTCCATCATTCTCCTTTATGCCCCCTCTCCCCATTCTCCCATTCTTAGAACAGTTTCAACAGGTCTCATTTTTCCATTTTCATACATGAGTACGTAATATTTCCACCATATTTATACCCTCCCACACCTGTCCTTCTATCTCCCCCTCACTCCAGATCTTATTTTAGATACTAGAATATATAATGTTGAACACACAGTCCTGAAAATTAGGCTAAGTGATATTAATCATACTTTGATGAATGTTAAACAGAGTCCTATGAAAGATGACTACTGTTTTCACACACAAACACTTTGATTTTCATGACTCTCATCTCATAGCCACGTTTCATTAAGTCAGGGATTTTAAGTATATTTTGGAATTTTCAGCAAGTAAAACTTTTTTATCAAGTTCAATAATGAGGCATTTAATAAATGAACTTTTTATAATGATGAGATTATGAATTTTCACCAAAGTAATAAACACGTTAGAGCGTACTTGTGTTGAAATTCCTTCTCTCGCTTCAGATCTTCATTGTGTTTCTTTATTCTTTCTTCCCAAATTTCCTTTACAGCGTTGACAGCCCCAGTAAAAACCACGTTTTCTGTCATGATTTCTCCACATGATCATAAAATCATCAACCTCATGATGTTCTGAATAGTTGGATCTCAGGTGCCGTCTCAGAAAGGACCTAATGGTACCAGAGGGAAAAAGCAACAGGTCAGAATGCTCACTGAGCACTACAATAATCACAATAGGTAATGTTTATCGGGCACTTTCTCTGTTCCAAGAACTGTTCTATTTCCTTTGTTTGTTTTTGAGAAAGGGTCTCACTATATTGCTCTTGTGCTCAAGCAGTTCTTCCATATCAGCCTCCCAATTAACTGAGACTACAGGCACATACCGCCACACCTGGATATTGTATGTTTTGTGCATACCAGATTTCACTTAAAAAGCTTTTGTAAAAATACTGTGATACGAATATTTTCTTTGTCTCTAACGTACACTTGAGAAAACAGAATCTTAAAGAAGCTGAGCAGTTTGTTCAAGGCCCCTTATCTGATATGCAGCACAGGTGGGAATTGGTGCCAAGCTTACTTCCTTTCCCACCATGAAATTCACAGCAATGAGCAAGTGCAACTAGTTCACATGTCCTATTATACGAAAGTGCTTAAATAATGGATACATAAAACGAATCCAGCATCTTGGGATACCAATTTAGTCTGGGTGACATATGCATAACCTCACTTCAGTTAAGAGAATAACATATCAGAACCATTTGCTGTTGCATAAGATAAATTGCAAATGGAATCTCACAAATAACAGGAAAATGTGCAATACTAGGAAATGGTTATGTAAACTATGGCAGATCCATTTGATGAAATATCCTAGCCTTACAAGCAGTAGTATTGATTTTTCACCAAATAAGCAAGGAATTTGATTCACAAGTCTTTGAATTCTTTCCTCCAACTTCAGGAAAATAGTGGGCTGGGATGTAGCTCAGTGGTAGAGTGTGTGCTTAGCATATGTGCAATCCTGGATTCCATCACACACACAAAAATTCAGTTCAAGATGTGCACACTCACTTCTATTCAACAGTATACTGGAACTCTATAATGCAATGAAAGCATATACAAAGTTACAAAGTTAGAAAGGAAGATATAAAATTTGCAAGAGCAGAGGGAAATGGGCAATCTTATACACTAATGGTGGCAGTAAGGATTGTTATATTCCCTGTGGAAAGAAATGTTGCATTATCTATCAAATTCACAAAGGGACCCTCACACATCACAAATATTTTCAAAATGTAAAGTGACATATTACAAAGTTAGTCATTTTTTTTTTTTGCTATCTTTTTATTTTTATTTTATTTTTTTTTCATTTTTCTTTTATTATTCATATGTGCATACAAGGCTTGGTTCATTTCTCCCCCCTGCCCCCACCCCCTCCCTTACCACCCACTCCACCCCTTCCCGCTCCCCCCCCCCAATACCCAGCAGAAACTATTTTGCCCTTATCTCTAATTTTGTTGTAGAGAGAGTATAAGCAATAATAGGAAGGAACAAGGGGTTTTGCTGGTTGAGATAAGGATAGCTATACAGAGCATTGACTCACATTGATTTCCTGTGCATGGGTGTTACCTTCTAGGTTAATTCTTTTTGATCTAACCTTTTCTCTAGTACCTGTTCCCCTTTTCCTATTGGCCTCAGTTGCTTTAAGGTATCTGCTTTAGTTTCTCTGCATTAAGGGCAACAAATGCTAGCTAGTTTTTTAGGTGTCCTACCTATCCTCACCCCTCCCTTGTGTGCTCTCGCTTTTATCATGTGCTCATAGTCCAATCCCCTTGTTGTGTTTGCCCTTGATCTAATGTCCACATATGAGGGAGAACATACGATTTTTGGTCTTTTGGGCCAGGCTAACCTCACTCAGAATGATGTTCTCCAGTTCCATCCATTTACCAGCGAATGATAACATTTCGTTCTTCTTCATGGCTGCATAGAATTCCATTGTGTATAGATACCACATTTTCTTAATCCATTCGTCTGTGCTGGGGCATCTTGGCTGTTTCCATAACTTGGCTATTGTGAATAGTGCCGCAATAAACATGGATGTGCAGGTGCCTCTGGAGTAACAGTCTTTTGCAAAGTTAGTCATTACAGTGCTTTGTACAACAGCAAAATACTGAAAACAACCCAAGTGACACCGGTATGTTGTGGTACATCAATAGCATGGGACTTTACATAGCCTTAAATAAGAAAAAGCATTTTTATGACTTTGCCACAATTTATCCATTCCAGTAAATGTGGACATTTGAGTCCCAGAAGTTTGCCATTATGAGCAATACCTCTAAAATTCTTGTCCTTTTCTTCTTGATGCTCAAGAGGAATTATTTCTATTGAATACAGACCTGCAATTAGGACTGCTGGCTCATAGTGTATGCCAGTGTACCACTTCACAAGATAGAGCCAAACTGTTCTCCAAAGTGATTTGTTCACTTATACTCTTACTGTCGCTGTATAAGGGTCCCCATGGATGCACTTCCTCACTCTAGAAGAAATGAACAAATTTCTAGGCACACATAACCTGCCAAATTTGAACCAAGAAGATAGTAGAAATCCTAAACAGAATAAAAACAAGCAATAAGACTGAAGTAGTAATCAAACTGTCCCAACAAAGAAAAGCCTAGACTGGATGGATTCACTGATGAATTCTACTAGATCTTTAAAGCACTAACATCAGTGCTCCTCAAAATATTCCAAGAAACAGAGAAGAAAGAAATGCTTCCAAACTCATTCTATGAATCTAGAATTATCCTGACACCAAACTGGATAACGATATGACAAAATGACAAAAAAAGAAAAGAAAAAGAAAGTTATATAAAAACTACCTTGGTGAACATAGATGTAGAAATCCTCAACAAAACACTTCCAAACCAAATTCAGCAACACATTAATCATTAATAAGACACCATAATCAAATTGGTTTCATTACAGTGATGCAAGAATTGTTCAATGTATGCATGCAAATGGTGTCATACAGCACATAAATAGAATCAAAGGGAAATCACAGAACCATCTCATTAGATGCAGAAAAAAGCACTTGACAAAATTCAACATCCTTTCATGATAAAAAGCTCTGATGAAATGAGGCACAGAAGGCTCGTGCCTCAAAGTCTATATGCACCAAACCCTAGCCGGTATCATACTTAATGGGGAAAAACTGAAAGCATTTCCTTTAAAATAACAAGTGTTACAAGGGTATCCACTCTCACCACTCTTTTTCAATATAGTATTTGAAATTTTAGCTAGAGAAATAAGACAAAAGAAGAAATATAAGGAATACAAATAAGAGTTGAAGAAGTCAAATTGGTACTATTTGCTGATGATATGATCCTATACTTAAAAGACTCTGTAGACTCCACCAGAAGACACTTAGCTCTGATAAATACTTTCAACAAAGTAGTAGTATACAAAATCAAAACACAAAACTCAGTATATTTTTGATCTGCCAATAATGAATTTGCTGAGAAGGAAATGAGGAAAATAATTTCATTCACAGTAACCTCCAAAAAATTTATTGTTTTCAAAAGTTATTCTATGAAGCCAGTAGTAACCTGATACCAAAACAAGATAAGGACACACACAAAAAAGAAAATTATAGACTAATATCTTTCATGAGCATAGACACAAAAATCCTCAATAAAATACTTGCAACCCATCTGATTCTCAACAAATGTGCCAAAAAACATATGTTGGAAAAAAGATAACCACTTTAACAAGTGGTGCTGGGAAAACTGGGTGTCTATAGGCAGAAGATTGAGTCTAGATCTTTGCCTGTCACCCTGTACAAAAATCAACTTAATGTAATCAAAGACCTTAATGTAATACCTTAATGTATCAAAGACCTTAATGTAACACCTTAATGTATCAAAGACCTTAATGTAATACCTGAAAGAAAACATAGAGGAAACATTTCAAGGTACAGGGATAGGCAACAATTTCCCAAATAGGACTCCAGTTGTTCAAGAAAGAATATCAAGAATTAACAAATGAAATTGCTCAAATGAAAAAGCTTCTGATAGCAGAATTGCTAATGAAGAGACAGCCTCTAGAGTGGAAAAAAATCTTCCCCTGCTGTTCATCTGACAGATGATTAATAGCAAGAATATATAAAGAACTCAAAAAATTAAGCAACAAGAGAACAAATGGGTAAAAGAACCTCACAGGCACTACTTAAAAAATGTACAAATGACAAAAAAATGAAAAAAATGTTCATTAGCTTTAGTCATCAAGGAAATACAAACAAAAACTACTTTGAGATTCCATCTTACTCTATTCAAAATGGCTACCATTAAGAAAACAAAAATAACAAATGCTGGCGAGAATGCAGCCACAGTGGAGATCAGAAGGGATGTGTCTCCAAAAAACTAAAAGTAGAATTGCTATAAGATCCAGTATACCACTCCTGGGTACACACCTGCAGGAATCAAAGTTGGCATAGTAGAGACACCTGTACACCCATGTTTATTGTAGCACTATTCACAATAGCCAAGCTATGGAATCAGTATAGGTGCCCATCAACACATGAATGGAGTGTTAGTCAACCATTAAAAAGAACCAAAATCATGTTATTTTCAGGAAAATGGATGGAAATGGAGATCATCATGTTAAGCAAAATAATGCAGACTCCATTAAAAAGTATCATGTTTTCTTTCATATGTGGAAGCTAAAGAGAAACAAGATATGAAAGTAGAAGTAGTAATGTTAGGGAAGATGGAGGAGTGGATAAAAGAGGGAGATGGGGGTGAATATGATCAAAGTATGCAATATACATGTCTGAAAATGTCACAGTGAATGAAACTCACTATTTTATATATTTAATGTATGCTGGTAATAAAAAGGAAACCTTCATAAGATGAAAAAACAGGAAATTGAAATGGCAAAAAAAAACCTAGATGAAATTGTGCTCAACTTTAAGGGTATGTGGATTAAAATCATATCAAAATGCCAATCCATACCTATCAGAATGGCTAAAATGAAAAAGACTGACCCTTCCAAGTGTTGGTGAAAATGTGAATTACAGAAATCCTCACACAGTGCTGGTGCATTGGTGGAGATGTAAGTTATTACAGCTATTTTGGAATAAAAGTTTTATTAATCTAACATTGTAGATATGCAAAGTTTATGACCAGCAGTTACACTCCCTGGTATACACCTAACAGGAAGAGCACGTCTCCACCAGGAAACATGAACTAGAATGCTCCCAGCAATGTTTTTCAAAATGAGGGTAAAAAGAATGCTTCCTGGAATTTTGCTTTCTCATCAGGATCCTCACTTGATTGGCAGTCCAAGGACATACAGTTTACTCTGCAGTCAGGCCGCCATGTTCCTGACGGCTCATTTCCCAAACTGCATTGTTGGCAGGTGCCTTGCCAGGCTGTAATGCAAGGAAGGTGAGGCATTGTCTTTCAGTGACTGGAACTGGTCTGTGACTTTATAAAGACTGAACCAGGGTGTCTGGATGCTGGCAGGGGACAGCAAAGTAATGTCTGTGCCACTAGTCTTCTAGACAGGAGTTGGTGGTTTGTCTGAAGTGTGGGGGAAAGGATGGTTTCTGGCTGGATTTCATAGTCAATAGTACATTTACATATTTCATTTTAAAACTAGATGTTTCTACTAGAGGCCTTTGATTCAGGAATTAATGTTTGTCAACTGTAGAACTATTAAAATAGAAAAACTGTTCTTTTAAAAATCCCTAAGATTTATATATGCTCATATTTAAGCTTCTGGAAGGGAGAGAAACCATTTTATGTATTTATTTGTTATTTATTTAGTAGTGCTGAGTGCCGTGCAGGCTTCACACGTTCTAGACAAATGGAGAGAAGCTGTTTTAGAAATTAATGTTTGTGTTCTAAAATCTGTTTGTAAAGTCATGATCCTATTTTACATTGATATTAAAATATTTCAAAGCCAGGTGCAGTGGGGCACACATGTAATTCCAGCTTCTCAGGGGGCTGAGGTAGAAGGATCACTGGAGCCCAGGAGTTCAGGGCCAGCCTGGACAAAATAGCAGAACCCTAACTTTTACACACATCTCTCTCTCTCTCTCTCTCTCTCTCTCTCTCTCTCTTTTTCTTTCTATATATATATATATATATATATATATATATACAGTGAAAAAGTAATTTTCTGAAGGTATAAGAGAGCTGAATCAGCACGTCCCAGAATGAAGTTGCATAGATAATGTCTAAAGTTGATAAGAAATAGCATATTACTACCTCTGCAAAGCATCAAAGAAATGTGGAGATGACCTCTGAAAATTAAATCCCAGGAAGGTTAAAAGGTCACTTCTGAGGAATTGGGTTGGTGGCAGGAATGGGGTAGAGGGGTACAGAGCACGGTTTTTCACCATTAATCTTTTTTTAATTAATTTTTAATTGTTGATTTTTTAAAATTAAAATTACACAGTGGTGCAGTGTGTGTGTGTGTGTGTGTGTGTGTGTGTGTGTGTATGAGAGTGAGAGGGAGAGAGAGAGAGCTATTTCCAGCAATGCATACAGAATATACTCAGGGACAGATTGTCAGATCTTTTTGCCATCAAGGAACCTAGGAGGCTGGGGGCGTGACTCAAGCTGTAGAGTGTGTGAAACCCTGAGTCCAAACCCCAATACCACCCAAAAAGATAGGAAGGAAGGAAGGAACCTTGGGGTTTGGTGTAGTGCAATTCCAGTACTTGGGAGGCTGAGGCAGAAGGATTGTGAGTTCTAGGCCAGCCTGGGCTACATAGTGAAACCTTAGGTAAGAAACATGTACAAAAGTATATATACTGGTAATCCAATTACCTGGGCACATCACCTGTAATTTATTGTCTCAAATGTTAGCAATATTGAAATACTTGCTAAATACTTTAAGTAATAGCAAATAATATTATCTTAAAATCCAACTATCTACATATAAATGTATTTTACCAGCTACATGTATCTACACATATATATTATATATGCATATATTAAATATAACTATTCAATCATTGCTAATTAATTTCCTCATTTGCTATTAAATTTTGGTCCTCTGTCAGTTTTCCTATAACCATAGGTTTCCCTCACAAGAAAACAAGTCAGCAACAGTGTGTGTACTTCTGCTTCCAACACAGAAGTGTGGTCTCTGCCCTGATTAGTACATTACAGAAAAGCACATAGCCTAGCAGGTAGCATGGCAAGAATGTGAGTGGGAGAGTCAGCTTCCCAAATCCAGAGTAAAAGCAAAAGCAATACAATCTCAGAAGAAATGCTTCGTGCTTGTGGGGAAGATGCATCCCCCTAAAAAGACTTGTAAATTCAATTCCAAGATTGGTCATATATTCTGGCAATTACAGAAACAGGAAAGTAAGTTATCACCAACAATCTGTTTATATGTAAAGAATGGAGAGAAAAAGTATTATGAAAAATACTTACCACTGTTGGTGGATACTGAAGCTGACACGCCCAAAGTTAATGATTATCAGCTAGGAATGGATGACAGGGTGAATTTTTTTCAGTGTGGCTCCAAGTGACTACAATCCTCAGTCAGGTTGTAACAAGTGCAATGTAATGTCATCCGGGTTCTAATTTTAGTTCAGGGACAAAGCTGAGAATAGCAAGAATCACATGGGATTCTGTGCAAAGGATCAACTGATAAATGTAGGTGAGTGAGTGCTGTAGACTGAAAAATGCAAAACACTCTCCTGCAGGCATTATAAAACCACCAGGCATAACTATTGCTAAGTTCCAGAAAAATAATTCCTGTTTGAGGCATTTCTACTTTTCGTGGCTTACACATCTGAAGTATCTAACAGAATGCAATGCATCTATTTCAAGCAGAGGAACTTGGATATACGGTGATGTATGGTGTAACAAAAACCCTACCTGCTAAATGACAAGTCTGTAAATATTCAATCTAAAGGGAAATGCACATCTGCTGGATCCTGTCTTCAGCTTTTGGCTTTTTTAGTGGTGGGGCTTGAACTCACACCTTGCACCTACTAAGCAACAGCTCTATATCTGAGCTATATTTCCACTCATTAGGCTGCAAATTTAATTACCTCTCAACCTCTGTTTCTTAGCTTTTGTAGCTAGAACTTAATTCCAAGTTCTTAAAAAATGTTATATTTATTTTTTTGAATTTGTAATATATGCAGATGAATAAAATTCAAAAGATAATGAATCTCCCCCTACTTAATTTTCTTGTTGACATTATATTTTTAATGTATTTTATCTTTTCTCACACTTGCCCTCCCATTTGGCCCTCTTCTAGGTGTGCATAGTTTTTGTTTTTGTTTGGTTTGGTGCTAGGGTTTGATCCCAGGTCCCTGCATGCTAAGCAGGTACCCTACCATTGAGCTACATTTTGTTTTCTTTTCCTAACATATGTATCACAGTTATAGTGGGCCAGAGTCATGGACTCTGATGAAGTTTTTACCTCTGGAACTTCAGAGTACAAACCTGGGCCTCACACGGATGGCAAACCTACAACGCAGAAGGAAAAAGTAGGATAATTTGTGCACACTGCTTTGTGTGAAGAATGAAGCCATTTGAGAGGAGCTAGGCTACCTCCCTCCATGGCAAAAATCATCTCTTCTGAAAAGAAAACCTTAGTCTGGCTAGCTAGCTATTTTCAGACCTATGATCACAGGGTAATAGTATCTGTGCCTAGCTCTTCTTTCTTGTCTCTACCGGAGGGTAGAAATAATAACTAACACTACTAGCTTATTATATTCAGGCCCTGTCTAAGCTCTTACAGATATTAGCTCATTCCACCCTCACAGAAGCCCATGGAAGGCTCTGTTTTGCCAATGAGGGACTGAGGTACAGAGAGATGAAGTAATTTGTCCAATATATACACAGTGAACCTAGGATATTCAAGTTTATAAAGACTTAGTGATGGGCACAGAAAATTAAGCAAATAAAATGCAGTGAACCAGAAAAACCCAGAAAGTACACCACGCGATTCACTGTCAACTGCATGGCACTGACACTCTCCCTCTACTCCCACAGGTTTATCCTCTTACATTCTTAGGACTCAGAAGTCCCCAGCCATTCCTTCTTGGTTAAAGTCAAGATGGCAACAGGGCTGGTTCCTTCTGGAGCTCGGGGAAATCTGTTTCATTGCCTTTTCCATCTCTGGAGGTTGCCTCTGTTCCTTGGCTCATGGCCCCATCCCTCATCTTCAAAGCCAGCAATCACATGACTCCATCCTCTGCTGCCATCATTATGTCTCCTCTATGACTAATTCCCTTGACTCCTTATCTTTTGTCCACTTAAAAAATTATAAAACACACAAGATATAAAATTTACCATCTTGAATCCTTTAAGTACAGTTCAATGATATTAAATATATCCATAATATCATGCAACCGTCACCACCTGCATAACCCTTTCTTGCAAGACTAAAAGTTTAAACCCATTAAACAAGACCCCCTACACCTTGTGAACCCCTATACAACCGCTTGTCCCTATCATTTCTACTACTCTAAGTACTTCACATCATTGGAACCAGACCATACTTATATTTTTTTGTGACTGGCTTATTTCACTTAGCAAAATAAGGTCCTCAGGGGCCATCCGTTGTAGCTTTCATCACAGTTTCCTTTCTTTATAAGACTGAATAATATTCCATTGGATGTATAGAGCACATCGTGCTTATTTTTTTCATCCATTGACAGTCACCTGAGTTCCCTCCATGTTTTAGCATTGTGAATAATACTGTTATAAACATGGGCTTACAAAGATCTTATTGAGATGTTGCTTTCAGTCCTTTTGTGTGTATACCCGGGATTGGGATTGTTGGATCATATAACTTTATTTAAAAATTTTCAGGATTCACCATGCTGCTTTCATAAGCAGCTGTATATTTTACATTTCTATCAACAGAGTAGAAAAGTTTCAATTATTCTGCTCCTCACCCACACTTGTTATTTCTGTTTTTTTCTGTTTCTGATAATGGCCATCATAACAGATGAGGTAGTGTCACATTGTAGTTTTCCTTCGAATTTCCTAATGATTGTCGATGTTGAGCGTCTTTTCCTGGGCTTGTTGACCTTGCTTTTTGTCAGTACTGGGGTTTGAACTCAGGGCCCTACACTTGCTAGGCAGGCATCTACCACTTGAGCCACTCCACCAGTCCTTTTTTGTGTTGTGCATTTTCAAGATAGGTCTTGAGAATTGTTTGTCCAGTCTGGGTTTGAGCCACAATCCTCCTGGCCTCTGCCTCCTGAGTAGCTAGGATTATAGGCATGAGTCACTAGCACCTGGCTGTGTACACTTTTTGGAGAAATGTCTATTCAAGTTCTTTACCATTTTCTCCCATTCTATGAATTTTGCTTTTACTCTGTTGAAAGTCTCTCTCTCTCTCTGTCTCTCTCTCTCTCTCTTTCTGTCTCTCTTTGTGGTACCTGCCCTTTTTGTGATGGGTATTCTCAAGATAGGGTCTTATAAACTATTTGCCAAGGCTAGGTTCGAACTGTGATCCTCCTGATCTCTGCCTCCCAAGTAGCTAGGATTATGGGTGTGAGCCACTGGTGCCTGGTCAATGGTATCTTTCAATGCACAATTTTTTTAAATGCTCACAATATCCAGTTAGACCAGGTTATATATTTGTGTGTTTATTTTTGTCCTAAATCTCCCCCACCATCATGGCAACCAACATTCTACTCTATTCCTATGAGTTCAGTTTTAAAATTTGTACTTGTTTGTTTGTTTAGTTAATTAGTTACCTATTAGTTAATTTTTTGAGACAAGGTCTCACTGTGTGCCCAGGCCAATCTTGAACTTGTGACACTCCTGCCTCCACCTCCTGAGTGTTGGGATCACAGGCATGTGCCACCACACCTGGTTCAATATTTTTTTAGATTTCACATATAAGTGAGATCATGTGGCATTTGTCCCTCTGTGTCTGGCTTATTTTACTTAACAGAATGTCTTCCAGTTCTATCTGTGTTTTAAGTGGCAGAATTTCCTTCTTTTTAAAGGCTGAGTAGTACTCCATTGTGTATGTGTACTACATTTTATTTATCCTCTCATCGTTGGTGAAAACTCAGGTTGATTCTGTATTTAGCTGTTGCAAATTATGTGACAATGAGCGTGAGAGTACAGATATCTCTGATATTTTCATTTCCTTTGGATATATACCCAGTAGTAGGCTAGTTGGATCATATGGTAACTTTTTAATTTAAATTTTTTTTAGAAAACCCCCCCTGTTGTTTTCCATAAGGCTGTACTAATTTACATTTCCAACAGTATGTTGTGTTCCCTTTTCTCTACATCCTTTCCAGCACTTATCTTTCATTTTTTTAAAAGTATTGACTTTTTTTTGGCTTTTCTTTTTTGATGCTGGGGATTGAACCCAGGTCCTCAGGAACACTAGGCAAGCACTCTATCAGTTGAGCCATACCTCAGGCCTTACTGTGGTTTTAATTAACTTTTCTCTAATGATACATGATTCTGAGCATTTTTTCATATACCTATGGCCATTTATGTACCTTCTTTAGAGGAATGTCTATTCAGATCCTTTGTTCATTTTAAAATTATTTGTTTTCTTATTATTGACTTGTTTGAAGACCTTATATATTTTGGATATCAATGCCTTGTCATGCGTGACTTGGAAATACCTTCTCCTGTTCCAGGGGATTGCTGAGCTCTGTTATTTCCACTACTTTTCAGCAGCTTTTTAGTTTGGTGTAATCCCTCCCATTTGTCTACTTTTGGTCTTGTTGCTCCTGCTTTTGAGTTCATAGCCAAAAAAATTGTTGCTTACATCAAAGTCGTGGAATTTTTCCCCTATTTTTTTCCCAGTAGTTTCACTTCAAGTCTTACATTTTTCTTTAATCTTTAGGTGTTTTATTTATAAAATTATGTCATTGCACACAGGGACAATCTCACTTCTTCCTCTGGGTAAAAGGTATGCCTTCTACCTCCTTCTTTGCACAATTGCTCTGGCTAGGATTTTCAGTACTATATTGGATGGAAGTGGTAAGAGTATTCATGCTATTTTTATTGGAAAGAACACTTCCACTTTTCACCATTGAGTATGTGGTTAGATATGGATTATTATATGTGGCATTTATGATGTACTTTTTTTTTTGGTCAGGAGGTCTCTCTATGTAGCTCAGGCTGACCTTGATCTTGCTATGTCACCCCAGTTGGCCTCAATTTTGCCATCTTCCTGTCTCTGCCTCCCAAGCACTGCAATTACAAGTGTGCACACGATGCTCTGTACATTCCTTCTAAACCTAATTTGTCATGGAAAATGTTAAATTTTGTCAGATGGCTTTTCTACACCCATTGGAGCAAGCATAGCTTTTTCTTGTCATTGTGCTGATGTGGTATGTCATATGGATAGAGTAGTTTATGTGGAACCATGATTGTGTCTCTGTGATGCACTGGTGATTTCTAAACAACAGAATTTATTGCCTACAGTTCTGGATGCTGGGGAATCAAGATCAATATTCTAGTATGTTCAGTGTCTGGCGAGGGCCCTTTGCTCACAGGCGGCACTTTCTTGCTGTGTCCTCATTATTTGGTGGATTACATGGCAGATGAGA